TGAAAAATATAAGCCCCGAGGTTTATTTTCGGAATTTTACGGTATTTGAGAAACCTGTTGAGAGAGAATTCACTCCATGAGCCTTCAGAGGAAGTAGGAAATTGGAATTTGGTAGTGCGTGATGCGGAATATGAAGGGGAACGGAAATCAGCACTTATGAAGCATGGCGAGGGAACAAACTTTCAAGGCAAAACAAATAAACGATTTTTTAGATATTATATATATAAGAAGTTTTTGAACATATTAGCAAATGTGGCGATAAAAGTTGTGGATAAGAAAAGATATTTAGACTTACTTTTCAAGATCTAAAAATTACGCGGGTCAGCACTACGTAGCATTTGAATCCAATCCAGCGGTTTCCTACCTGAAATTTCAGGCAGTGGATTTGTTTTAGCTACAAGAACTTGCCGAAAGATATTTGAATTTGGGCGACTTTGTGTGATATTCGTGGAAACGTCTGTTTCTAGGAATCAACGCAACTCGTTCGGTTAAAGGAAGTGAGATGTAAACTAAAACACCACGTCATGTTACAAAAACTATGTAATAGATCAGTGTTTTTTATTTTTTGTTTTATTGTTTTGTTTTGCTTTTTTCTTTCTCCTTTATCCTTATGCCGTCACTGATTACAATTCTACATTCGAAGCGGGTACCAATGTCCAGAGGTCTAAGTGAGGGTTTAATTAAGGAGAAAACACCTGACGGGGAATGACGTAAATAAATAAATAAAATAAATAGGCGTGCTACTATTTATATGCCGAAGCGGTAATGTTTAAACGCCGTTTGCGTATAGTTAAAGGGCTTGTTCAATATTTGGGTATAATGATTGATTCTGAACTATCATGGAAGCATCATAATGACTTTGTCTGTGACAAAATTAGTAGATCGGTTGGAATAATTGCTAAAATGAGGCATTGCATTCCATGCCATCTTCTTTTTTAATTTATACCTTGCACTTATTGTTCCTTATTTAAATAATGGTATCCGTAATCACAGACCTGCCTCGATAAGATACTTGTCACCACGCAATATCTTTTTTATTGAATCAAACTGCTTTCCTTTGCAGTCTTTGTTCTTTCAACAGGAATAAAATTCTTTTTTAAAGAATAAAATCAGCTTTGCAGAGGAAGCGATCGGTAATATTATTAAGTCTTGGAAATCACATATTGATTTCGTCTCAAAAAACATTTCGAAAAGTGTGGGAATTATTGCGAAAGCCCGCTTTTACCTATCATCCCAAACTTTGATGACCTTGTATTACTGCCATGTATATCCTTTCTTAACATACTGTAATGTCGCCTGGTCCTCCACCTACTGTTCCAGCCTAAACTGTATTTACCTTTTGCAAAAGCGTCTAGTGCGGCTATCTAGCAAATACCACCCCTTTATTTAGCCAGCTTAATTTAGTCCTTGACATATTTAGTAGTATTACTTGATTTTCTGTCGCTACTTTATGTATTCTTATCACCATAATCTTTTGCCTAGTAGCTTTCGTGACTCGTTTTTAAGTAGTAATCAAGTCCATCAATACGAAACTCGACTAGCCTCTTGATATAGACCTCCCTCCGTTTTGTAGAACAAATATAAAGCAATTAAGTATCCTTTACCGAGGACCTAATATCTGGAATTCGTTGCCTGTTTCACTAATTAGCTCTCCTTTTTTTTTTTTTTTTTTTTTTTTTTTAATTAAAGAATTATCTCACTGATAGCCGATCTGTCGTTTAATTTTCTGATCTTGCTCACTCTGCACTCAGCCATGAATTTAGTTCACTAGGTAGTTGAACGAAGCCTATTAATATCAGCTTCAAGCTTCGTTAGGCTTCCTTGTCACATTAATTTTATACTTTAATTAACACCTTTTGTTCATGTTGTATAAGTTTTTGTGAGTGACTAAAATAAATAAATAAATAAATAAGTCCAGCTACAAATCTACTGTCGGTTCGGTTTCACATTGTAGATAAATATTTACACAGTTTAATCATTTAAACCTCCTTTCAAATTTCCCGAGGCTTTTTGTTACCCGATTGAAACTTCGAATGAGTCGCTGCGCTATTTGAAATGTTTCATAGGACATGTGATGTACTGCACGTCGGTATCTTATTTCATTTTTTCAAAAAAAAAAAATGGCATTGTTTTCTTTTCCTTTGTCGTTCGCATTTTTATTCTCATATTTTGTTTGTTTGTTGGTTAGATTTTTTCCCAAACACCAGATTTTCCAACAGAAGCGGCTATATTCTTCGAATCAATTTTCCTTATCTCGTCGTGTAATCTGATCCTTTTCGGTGGTGAGAATGTTGCTTGTTGCACATGGAACACTTTTGCTGTTTTACTAACTTCTCTTCGTTAAAACTTTACATTATGGCCCCTAAAATTATTACAATGCATCAGGCGCTCATGTTTCTTGACTACAGCGGCCAGGTCTGACAAATAAATTTAGGTAAAAAAAAGGAAGTCGAGACGGAGCGAATTGTAGCCCTTGCGTCAGGTACTGCCTTAACTTTTGATTGGTTGACAACTGACCACTTGGTCTGAGAGGAATCTACATTACTTCAGGTTACGGGTTGCGGATTAATGCACCTATCAATGTAAAGCCGGCGGGGGGGGGGGGGGGGGGGGGGGAGCAGGGCATGGGGTGGGGATTTGATTGTCTTTGTTAGCCCTGGTGTAGGGCATTTGACTGATCTTGTTCTCCCGGGGGACGGGATATTTGAATCTTTCTTCGCCCGAGGTGGAGATATGTGACTGCCGATTCGGTCGAAAAAGACTGAGACCGAACATATGGGAAGGAAGTCATGGAGGCCAATGAGAACAAGCGAAAGCTGAGTGGATTTCGCTGTTTTGTCTTCAAATTTCGTTTGTTTTAGCGTGTTTTTGATCAATTGAACCTCTTAAGATACTGTGGTATCAAAGTAAACGGAAGTAAAGAGAAACCAAGTCAATTTTTGCAAGTACAACTGATTAGTGTATGGCTCATTCGCTACAATCAGTGTAAACTTATAAAACTGACTTTCTTTGTACCCTTTACTAAGAACAGTATATTTAAACTTACAAAATATGGACTTTCTCTAAAGCTTTATGTATTCTGCGCAGTGTAACACGGATTCTGGTTAAAACGTATAATTGCAGCTGTAACAGGAACCTGTATCTTTGGTGATGCAGCAACGTTTATAAAAGATTGCAGAGTTTTATTTGGAGATATTGTCATCGTGCCTTTCTTTTGTTCTGCCTTGGGATTGACAGCAATGTGCAGCCTCGGGTGGGGAAATTTGGTTGCATTTGACTGGAATGATTTGCCCGTGGGCAGGGAATTTGATTGCAAATTTTTGAAAAAAGTCAAATCCCCACCCCATGTACTGCCTACCCCCCCTCCCTCCCCGCCGGTTTTCTGCCCATTGCAACCCAGTCTTGCGCGGCTCTATTCTGCTGCCGCCTTGTCATCCGACCGCCTTCGCTCGGATGGCTCGGTGGCAACAAGTCTTGGCCTTTACGTTATTTGTTCGCAACTCTTCTCGTCATGTATACGATGATCGTATTCATTTCTTCAACTATTCTACATACTGTCTTTGTCCTATTCGCATCGCAACTCACGGCAGCACTTCCCTTCTCAATGAGAGTTAAGCTATTAGAAAATGTCCGAATATTTCAGACGAATGGAACGGTTATCCAGAAATTTTTAGCTTTTCACAAGCTTTAGAAATGTCTAGGCAATAGATCGTTTTCACTGTTACGCAACAACAACAACGAACAATGGAAATCTTCCTGTGGAGGAAGCCAAGAAAACGAAATGCCATAAAAGACTAATATATAAACAATTTGTCCAAGTCTCAGCTAGGTCTTTGTGGCACAAAGTTTCTGAGGTATTTGCCGAAACGTTTCACGCACCTTTGTAGACCTTTGTATGGAGACGCCATATCGGCGTACCGTTTTGGTGCACCAATATGGCCGCCGTGCCGGAAATCAACAAAAACATCGGGAATCCACTTTTTCTATAAAAGTTCTTTCTTTTCACTTGAGAACTAGCATACGTACGCATAAACATATCTTTTAACACTTGAAATGGTAAAACTGCAAAAAATCAAGAGGAGAGACTTTTTCAACGAGGCAGCATTCCTGTTCTGGTGTCACGCACTGTGAAAACTCGGAAGTTCAAAATGCTGTATTTTCGAAATGAAACATGCTACGGGAATGGAAACTTGTACAAAGATTTACTTTGTGTTTATCTTCAACCTAGTGTAAATAAGAATTTGTAAAACCTGGCTATTTTGACTTATTTACAATTTGATGACGTCACTGTGAAAACCATCTATATTTTCGGCTCCTTCAAACAGTTTTACAGAAAAAAGTCGCTGGGTGCCCCTGAGTTTTAATACACGGTTATTTATAACATTACCTCGACAAATGGGTCTGGATAAGTCTGAGTTTGGTAAATTATGTGTTTTACCGGTCGTTTAAACGACAACGAAATTGATCTGTGATATGAGGACCTTAGCCAGTCTGGATTAAGAAAATTGTCATCAGTTTACGTGATCCGCTTGTTCAACTGTTAGAGGAAGTCACGTGTGAACCTTTAACGCTTTTGCTTTACGGATTTGCGTGTCAATTACTGACATGTAAGCCTTTATTTGTTTTGCCTAAGAATAGTTCACTTCAAGTTATTGCCATTGCAAATTTAAAGCAGTTGCGGAACTGTCTCGTGATTCCTATTTTTGTCCTGCTTTAATACCTGTCTGAGGTCCGGCCGCTTGGATGGCTCAAACAAAAGGGTTTTTATTTAGCAACCAACCAAATCTACGGGATAAAGTCCTGTATATTTTTAACATCTAATGTGTTTAATTTGATTGTCAAAATGACGTAGCATAAAGTCGTATTGACGTCATATTTTAAAATTATTGCCTAAAAATTACCCACATTGACTATTCATTTCTTTAATTAAAAATAGATATAAAGAGATAAATTATTAAATAGTAGCCAGCCAGCAAAACCCACTGTCGTATGGTCACGAAATAGAAAAGCTCGCAAAACAAAGCAGGAGGTCGACCTGTCTCTATTAGTGGGCGAAGTATAATTTTAAATTCTTGATCAACGTATCCACGGCAACACGGTGATGTCATTGCCATTTTAACATTTTCTTTATTTTGTATTTAAAAAATCACTTGCAAGGCTTTTAATTTAGTTTATATACATGTAACAGTCCTAAATTTTGCTGATTCTCGCAATATAATACTATTCGGATTTATACCACTTTTTTTCTCGACTGAGATCATTTCTATCCTCAAGCCTCGCACAAGTAAGACGGAAGTTCATACATAAATTGTAGAGGGTAGGGGTGGGCAATTTGGTTGCTCCAGAGGACTGTTTATTTCATCTGCCAGGAAATTTTAGGAAATTTTAAGGAAATTTGCTCGACTGTGATCTGCGCTACAATGCAGGTTTGAGAAACGAAAATGAAAACACCACATTAACTTGGCCAACCATGTCACAAATCAAGCACCAATTTAAACAATTTTGGAGGGCAGTTATGTTCAATTTTTGATAAATATGATACATAAATTTGGGGCTCGTAGTTCTAATGCTGCTTGTGTGATTCCCTCTTAGAACAGAAGGAAATTTGCTTCGAAAATATGAAAGGCTTCGGCTATGTGGCCGGTAACCGGTCAAGATTTTCAAAACACCAAGTGACCGGCAGTCCGATATATATTTTTTTTTTTTTAATAATTTTGACGAATCGAAGAATCGCAGCCAGACCAGACTATCATACGTCGATTTAGAATAGACTGAGAGACTTAGTTTCTGATCAACAGTGTAAGTCTCTTCAATTTTAAAGGAGAAAAATTCAGTCGAATATGACCGGATTCGATCACGGAGCATAGGGTCTGGATACCACTACTCTAACCACTAGACCACCGTGGTTTCTCTGCAAGTCGGTGATTTTATTCAACTATTATAGCGTAAACCCCAACCCAAAATAGAAGCTAACCGTTAACCCTAATTACCATTCTCAGGGCTTAACCCTAATCAGTATGGTTAGTGCTTAACTTAATATTTTCAATGCTTAACCCTAATCACTATAGTCAAAATATCGGACTTCTAAAATATTACATTTTGTGAAAATATGCTTGAAAGAAATTAAACGGCTGCTTGTTCCAGTGATGCTATTTCTTTGTCCACGTGCTACGCTATTTTGCTGGTCTTAGCGTGTTCTGTTTTCCAAAAACCAACCCAAATATACAGAGGTTTCGAACTTTTTTTTCATTCTGCCTTGGCATCGACTATGATGAATTCATCATGAATCAGCCTTCGGTTTTCGGCCGACAAGTGTCGGCCAACTGCAAGAGTATGCAGCACGTGCAAAGTTGTTTGTTTTCAAATAATATTTTTGTTTCTATACTTTAACAAGATTGCAAATTATGCAAATTGCAGTTGAAAATCAGTTTAAGAAGAAAGCACATGGTAGCTTAGCCACAATTCCTTGCGAGTCTACTGCTCATCCAAAATCTTCCATTCGCAGTTAACCACAATTCCTTGCGAGTCCTATTGCGCATCCTAAATCTTTGAGTCGCGCATAGCCACAATTCCTTGCGTTTGGTAAGAAAAACTGATTGAATGCCCCAATAAAGTAATGTTTTGCTGATTAGAGAGCTGCCTCGTTCGCTCGCTTCAGGCTCACTCACGGCGGCAGCAATAAGCCTTTCAAAAAGTGCCTTTGAAAATATATAATCCCCTCGGGTGGGGGCTTATTTTCGGAATTTACGGTCAACTTTAATAAGATGGGAAAAAATAAATAATAGTAATAATAATAATAATAATAATAATAATAATAATAATAAACCGCGAGGATCTTGGCCTGTCGTTTGGAAAATGGTTTAATAGCATTACATATTAGTTTTTTCGATATCCTTTATAACTGACAAAAAATGCAACCCGGGTGATACAACGTTAAAAAAAAAAAAAACAAAACAAAACAAAAACAAAAACAAAATAAAATAACATAAAATAATGGCTTTACAAACATTAAAATGACATACGAAACTAACAAGCACTTTGTAGCACCGTAAAACAGCTGCCTATACCTATCATTGGGACCCAGTATTGCTTATTTTCTATACAACATCAGCACTGCTGTACCTTATGGGTTATGCCATGGGGCTATGTCAGCTGCATCCTTGGAGACCCAGGGGCAGTCAGTGGGGTCGAGAGAAAAGGCGCGACGAAAGTTTTCAAGTACGGGCGAAAGAGCCCCTGGGTACCGACTCTAACCGAACAATTTCCAAAAATTCAAGCGGATGCCGGCTCCTGATTGGGCACAAAAAATGCTTTGTATTATTGTGCCCAATCGGCGAACAGCTTCTCCTGAGTTCTTTTCGTGTGTTCATACACGACGGCTATTGTCTCGATCACGGCTTGTCTGGGTCATGCACCAAAGAAAAGGCACGCAGTCAGGAAACTTTCAGTTTGATATAAATCCCCACCTGATTTCAAAATACTGTCTGTCCGAAAACTAAAGGCACTTTTCCAAAAATACAAGCTTCAGCTTACAACAGGTATTCACGCTTGCATCGGCCACGTCTTGCGTCAATATATTTATAGAGAATTTTGAAAAGATATCACGACGGAAACGTCGCATGCAAAAGTGAATTCATATTTTTTTTTTTTCAGTCTCTATCCTCCAGTCGTGATTATTCCAACTCGCTTACTTTGTCAAATGCAAGCGATCTCTTCTGGAGCTGAATTTCTATCAACCACATCCAAGTTCATGAAGACAGTGAATTTTGTCATTGCTTGTTTATGTCCTCCACAAAACGTGAAATTAGGCATTTTCACGGGTAGTCGTGCAGTTGGCCGCAAAGAAATGTACAAAAAAGCGTGATGCACGTGCAAAGTTGTTGTTTTCCCTTGTCAAGCTATTGCTTATTTGACTTTCTCGTCGCCGTCGCATCTTAAACTTCCTATTATCTCCTGTTATTTACGATACTTTGTGATCCGTCAAAAACAGAATATTCGGGCCAAATGCAAATTGCTCCTGCTGATAGCATTCCAAACGTTTTTTTGACTCATCGGTAGTTCCTTTGTTTCTGGTTAGGAAAGTAGAAAATAAAAGTTTCCCTCGCACGCACAAGCTTGGTGAACGGACCGGGCAAGTGTGGCGAGACAATAGCCGTCGTCTACGAACTCAGGAAAAGAACTTAGGAGAATCTGTTCGCCGATCGGGCACAATAATACAAAGCATTTTTTGTGCCCAATCAGGAGCCGGCATCCACTTGAATTTTTGGAAATAGTTCGGTGAGAGTCGGTACCCAGGGGCTCTTTCGCCCGCACTTGAAACTTTCGTTCAGCCTTTTCTCCTGACCCGACTGACCGCCCCTGGGTCTCCGAAGATGTGTCAGCTGGAGAGCAAGCGCATTGAGGTTAGGCAATTTTTTTTTTCCACTGACAAAACTCTATTGTTTTTAGGACAAAATCCATTAGGAAATTAAGAAGTTTTTATTTTCAGTAGACAAACCTTGTACCGGAATAATTTCAAGCATATTATATACTGAATTCTTTTTCACACTTTTCAAGAGCTACAGATGTAATAAGTTGTATACGTATGAAATAACTGCGAAGAAATTCTTATTGGAGTCCGAGAAAATAAACTTCAAATGCCTCAAATTTCACAAAATGAAGTCTTACGCATGTCGATTTTACCTGTGTTTTCTCAATTTCTGTGAAATTTGAAATTTTTTTTTCTTGAGCTCCCGAAAGAAATTGTCTTTGGTTTTATTGCAGATAAGTAACTACAACTATAACCCTTGAACAGTGTAAAAAACAAAGCGATATGGCTTAAAATATTCTGGTACAAGGTTTTTGTCAACTGAAAACTAAAATTACTCAATTTCCTAATGAATTCCGTGTGACTAGCTTCATCCTCGGAGACCCAGGGGCAGATAGTTGGGGCGAGGGAAAGTCTAATCGGGCGGAAAAATATGCCACGAAGAAAAGTAAAGAACGGCGAGAAGAGCCCCTGGGGACAATGTCTTACCAGACCACCGCCGCCGTTCTGACTTCTGATTGGTGCCAGAAAACTTTTGTGTTTTTCTGCCCAATCAGAAGGCAGAACGGCGGCGACCGTTTGGAACTGGTCTGGTAAGACATTGTCCCCAGGGGCTCTTGTCGCCGTTCTTTACTTTTCTTCGAGCCATATTTTTCCGCCCGATTAGACTTTCCCTCGCCTCAACTATCTGCCCCTGGGTCTCCGAGGATGGACTAGCCTGCGCAGCAAGCGTTTGCGTGCGGTTTCAGAGCAAAGAACCGGGAACGAGAGTCAAAGACCGCGCGAAAAATTGCGCTAGTAAAAGAACGGGAAGGGGCGCGGCCAAAACCGAAAACCCCCTTCCTCAGTCTTTCTTTGCTCCGAAACCAAACGGAAACGCTTGCTACGCAGGCTAACCCGTGACTTTCTTGTCACGTGTAAGGCTCCGAAATTTACAGAGGCGTTACAAGGGAAATGGGTTTGGAGGGATATTTTGATAGAATTTACGGGACGTTTCTTTTCTGGTTATGCTAGATCAAGTTCCTCAATTTCTTCGTCAAGAATAAAAGTGTGAAGACAATTTTCTTTCATTCTCTTGAGCACTTCTCCATCAGTGGAAATTTATGTTATGACTTATCTGACCATCTACCAAATTTTCTTATCGAAGTAAACTTTCCTCTCTACCAGCAAACATGAAGGTTTTTCAACGCGATTATTCAAACTTTGATAAGCAAGCCCTAGTTACTGACATTCAATCAATAAACTGGGATGTCTTACTTCGAGATGTTTACGAACCAAGTAGTATGTTTGATAGTTTCTATAATAAAATATCTGAGGTTATTGATACACATATACCCATCAAGCAATTATCTAGACTAGGATTAAAAAGTAGATCCAAACCATGGATAACCTCTGGAATTAGGACCTCTATTAGAATAAAGAATGTTTTATTTAAGAAATTCTTAAAGACTAAATCTACCTACTACCATGCTAGATTTTAATTTTACAGGAACAAATTGAATCATTTAATTAAATTAAGTAAAAGAAGTTATTACAATAATTTCTTTTCAATTCACGTAAATAATGGCAAACGAATCTGGCCTGGAATTAAACAAATTATTCAAATTAACCCACAGGTAAATCAATTGATCAGCGAAATAGTCCTGAAAAATTGTGACTAACTGATCCTAAAGCAATAGCTAATGAATTCAATAATTATTTTGCCAACATAGGTGCTAATCTTGCAAGTTCCATTCCCAGTGCTTCAAAAACTGGTAATGAGTTTATGTCACCTCCCATATGTGATACCGTAAAATTCCGAAAATAAGCCCCTCCATGTACAAGCCCCTCCAAATACAAGCCCCCCAAATCGGTAACGCAAAAAACCCTCCGTTAAATAGCTCCTCCAAGTATAAGTCTTCCGGGGACTTGTACTTGGAAAATTGCCCTCAAATACAAAGTAAAACAAAGCAAAAACGGTAAATTCACTTCCAACTATAAGGCTAGCCCAATCGGTTTTGAAACGCAAATTTCCCTCCATAGATAAGCCCCTCCGAATATAAGCCCCTCCAAAAATAAGCCCCTCAAAAAGGGCCTTTGAAAAATATAAGCCCCGGGGCTTATTTTCGAAATTTCACGGTAGTTTGTTTCTGTGCAAGGTCACTGCAGATGAAATTCAATTAGAGATAGCTAAACTTCAAACTGGTAAAGCTGTGGGGCCTTCTAGTATTCCTATTTCAATTCTAAAAATCCTTAAGTCTGAATTAGAAGGTCCCTTACAGGTAATATTGAATACATCTTTTCTTACTGGAATTGTCCCAGATAAATTCAAGTTGGCAAGAGTAATACAAGTCTTTAAGAAGGGCTCTCAGACAAACCTTAGTAATTATAGGCCTATTTCTCTTTTATCAGTATTTAATAAGTTGCTAGAAAAACTCATGTTCAATCGGTTACCAGACTTCTTGGAAAAAAGGCGCCTAATCTATAACAAACAATTTGGTTTCCGTTCACAACATTCAACTGATCATGCAGTACTCAGTATTATCGACCAGGTGCAAAAAGCTATTGAAGATCGCAATTACTCTTGTGGAATATTCTTCTTTCAAAGCTTGAATTCTATGGTATCAGAGGTGTTGTTGAAAACTAGTTTACCTCATATTTGAGAAACACAATACAAACGGTGTCACTTGGCTCTGTAAATTCTGATATACAAACTGTCTGCTATGGGGTACCTCAAGGATCAGTACTTGGGCCTCTCCTTTTCTTAATTATATTAATGATTTTCACAATTGCTCAGAACTACTGGATTTTCACCTTTTTGCAGATGATGCAAATTTATCCTCTAAGCATAAGGACATTAACATTCTTGAAAGTGAAATTAACAGTGAACTTGCTAATCTACATATATGGCTATCTGCCAATAAGCTTTCACTGAATATTGAAAAGTCAAATTTTATCATTTTCAGTCATGCTGTTGTTAATTTTACCTGTAGTTTTGAAGTAAAAGCGCATGCCATTCATAAAAATAGAGCGCAGACAAAATCTCAACAACAACGTATTGAACTAGTTAGCCAAATAAATCAAAGTTATATTTTTATAAACGACCTACAAAAGACTCTAGACCAAAGATAAAAACCAAGACCTTTTCAAATCATTCACAATTACAATGAATTTGTCTGTCAGTACTGACTTTATAATTTAGAAACTCTGCTATTTTCCAAAAATATGCTCGAACACAAACAGTTCAAAAACATGATATGCACAGGATCTAACTCGTACTCGTGCCTCTCTAAGTACGTTGAGAACAAGCTGAACGAGCAAACGGTCGTGTTTATCGTTGCCGTGAATCACGATAAATACAAGAAGGAATCTAGCCGGATTCTATAGCGTTTCCTTCGCCAAAAGGTTAGTTTCGTCACGAAACTCGCGGCCATGCTGTTGTAATCGTTAAAGGTAGCTCGATAGAGTTTTTCTGGGTCAATACCTCCCAAGTTTGAGAAAATACTATGTCACCATAAACACAGATTTGGAAAATTGCCACCACAGTTGTTTTAGATAAAGATGAAAATTTGTTATGATCACCTACTTTACTTGCAGCAGTAGTTCTTGGCACTGGGACTCGGAACTGTTCTTCCAAAATCGTTCACGGGGGCTTTTTCCTCCAATAGCTGCCTCTATGTTCGTAAAGTCTAAGCGGAATCTGTAAGAGCGTTATCTAGATATATTGGGGTGAAGTTTTTATTGTTAGAAATACAGTAAAAAAAGGGGCAAACGTGATATTTGGTCGTTATCTGTAGAAAATGATTAAAAGCGTTTTTGACATGCAATTTTACCCCATAGTATTTTCAATCTTTTTAAAAACGTGTGTGAAAGAAAGAAGGATTTGATTATAGTAGTATGTAATGAGGCGCTCTTCTTAGCGGTTTTGTAAACATTTTGGTCTACTTTGACAAATTGGCAAATAATTCTCGAGATTAAGTGTCTTTTTAGGAGACCTTTGAGTCTCAAGATTATTGATATATTGTAAGGCAGTGAAATAAGGGCTACAATTCGCTAGGTTTTTATCGGAAGTTTCGTGTTTACAAGTGAAAGCCTCTCATTATTCAAGGGTATTGTCTGCAAATTTTGTTTTCAAAAGAAAAACATTAACCAACATTGCATTTAAAATACGCCAAATGCTAGCTATTGTTGTGCACGAAAATATGAAACTTGGAGACAATACCCTGAATAACGAGAGGCTCTCATTTGTAAAAAAAAAAAAAAGAAATCTATCGAGTGGTTTAAAAAATGTTCGCTAATTTGTTTAAGTAGACCAAAATGTTTACAAGAGCGCCTCGATGCATACTAATCAAATCCTTTATTCTAGCAAACGACTGGGGCTCTCCATGATCTTTCATGCACGTTTTTAAAAAGAGTTAAACTACTAAGAGGTGAAATTGCATGTCAGTAGCGCTTCGTTTTCTATAAATAACAGCCGAACATCAAGATTGTCCTTTTTTTAACCGTATTTCTAACTATAAAAACTTCATCCCAAAATATTTCGATAACGCTCTTACAGATTTGGCATAAACTTTACGAACATCAAGGCGGCCATTGGAGGAAAAAGCTCCCGCGAACGATTTTAGAAGAATAGTTTCCAGGGGCAAGAAATACTGCTGCAAGTAAAATAGGTAATGGCGTCATTTCGTTGCTATGACAAATCCGATGTTATTGCAATCCTGATCATAACAATTTTTCATCTTTATCTAATACAATTGTCAGTGGTGGCAATTTTTCCAAATTTGTTTATGACGATGCCGTTTATGCTCAAACTTGGGAGATATTGACCCTGAAAAACTGTATCGAGCCACCTTAAAAAAGCCGCTGCCGCCAAATCGTTAGTTTATTTGTTCAGACACGTACTTTGAGCACAAAAAAAATAATCCAGAGCCAGCAGCCTCTAAAATAACTTAAAGGTTTTGTGAACTATAAGGAAGATTCCATCTTAGATTCCAGTCCATCACTCATTGTGGAGTTGCCGTCGTTCTCTGCCAGTACAAAGGCAGCTGATAAGAAGACACTGTAAATCCACGTAAAAAAAATGCCAAAAGCAAACAATTTTAAAAATAACTCAAAAAAATTCCTGTGTAATCACCATAGAACAATTATTAATACAAAACTTCGTTAACTATCAAACGATGACTGAGATTTAAACAGATAAAAACGGCCTTCCAAAATGTCCGACAGGACTTGAAAAAGTCGGGCCGACGTTTTAAAGTCTGTTTTCGTTGACATAGCCTCATTGGTTGAATCATTACAGAATTTAATGTACACAAACGTCATTTCCATTCATGATTTTTTTTTTTTTAATCTAATTTTCCTACACGACAGGTGTTGCTCTACTATGCTTCAAACTCAACTCAATGTGTGTGTGTTCTGTACAGAGGCAGGTCCTTCCTTAAAGTTAACATTATTCGGAAAATAACCTTTATTCAGGATGTTAATCAACCAAGGTTGGCACTTTCTGTTTTATCAAGTCTAAAAACCCTCGGCTGTGCACCTGTGCAAGAGAGGCTGTTTGTAAGACATCTTGAAAATATTAAGTAATCTTCGTGCTGTTTACATTTAACTCTAAATTGTAATAAACAAACTTCTTGTCGTTTATTGATAGGGACGGTGAGACAAGAGCAACTCCACCACAATCACTAGGTCACAACTTACTAGGTTGCTTACTCGTAAATTCTCTGCTTTACAGTCAAACTTGTACATTCTTCGTTCCTTCCTTCCTTTTCTTCCACTTATCTTCAAGGTTTAGCCTTTAGCTCTACTGTAGTTTACTCACTCTCCCTCTCCCTCTCCCTCTAAAAAACCCGTTTCTCAGCGGCTCTAAATTCAGTTGTTTGCGTGGATAATATGTTTGCCTTAGGTTGCAATTAGAACAATTAAACGCTTCCTACTCTTAAAAACTTGTGTTAACATAAAATGAACGAGTTTCCTAAGTTTAATTACTAAAAAGGTCGAAATGTCCATTTAAAGGATATAAGTGTTTTCCGAGGGACATCAAGTTTAGAGACAAGATGTCCCACTCTCAAAAAGCACACTGCTTATATTAAACTAAATAAGCTAATTAGCAAATTGGTTATTTATCATGTTTCATTTTTAAACGCGGGTAAATACTTAGAATGTTCTAGAACCTTAAAAGCCTATTGATCGGATATTTATCAAACTTTCATTAACTTTTCAAATATATCTAAAATCGGGGAGATTAGTCCTGTGACAATTCTATCAAAATTAAATTATAGGGCTCAATAAAAAACTTCGCCAATCCAGTATGAAACTTAACTTCTCTTTCACAAAGTGAATCAAACTTTGTATACGAAGAACCAAAATACGATGATGGTTGCCGGCATAAATTTGAAATTAATCATCTGCAGTCAGCGTTAATTGATGTTGCCTTCCAAAGGTAGATCCTGGACAACACCACAGCCGACATCATCTTGACTTATGAAAGTGCTGAACTTCATGGTGTCAGAATGAATTCCTCGTGTCTCCGGAAGCTGATCGACCCCATCCTTGATCGGATTTGACAGGTTTTTCGCTGCTAAAATTAAAGCGCAAGTAAATAAAACGTAATGCAATAGACAATTAAAAAAGAGACCTTACAGTGCGATGATAGTTTGTTTTCCTGTTTCGCACCCTTAGGATAGTCGATGACAGTTTCTTATTCCAAGGAAACAGAGTTAGCCTGATCGGTGTGCAAAAATTAATAATAACAATAATAATAATATTAATAATAATAATAATAATAATAATAATAACAACAACAATGATAATAATAATAAAATAAATATACATCAAGGCCAATGAAACAGAGAATAGAGCAGATATGTTCCATATTATGTTTCTCATACTAGTAAATCCACCAACATAACGGTTTTCATTTTTCTACAAAGAGCCATGATCAAGCTGACTTTAGGCCGTAAGACATTTGTTCACATTTTCATGCGCCCGGAGCTTGGGAGAGCAACCACGCAATTTCCGGTTCCGATCATTTTGAACCATCTGCACAATCTTAATTGACCCGTTTGGCTGCAAGCGATGATAGCAAAAGACAGTGATCCTGCTCAAAGGGTGTTTTACGTCAAGGACTGAGTTGATCGAAGCCTGGTTTGTTGCATAACTCTGGGTTAAGTGCATCTAAATGGAGTATATCAGTTCTCATGTTAACCTAGATTATCGCTAATCGTCCCTTTTATAACTAGGCCCGAAAGCCCACCCATAAGACAGGGTTGATAAAATCAAAAACTATCTTTTCCTTTCCTAATCCGCCTTATAAGTGGAGCTCATACAATATACGACTTGTATTCGATGAACTTAAAGTTTTATGCATAACGTATGTGCTCGCACACTGATTGCACAGCAATCGAGCAGAAAATCAAGTTTCCGAGTTAAAGGAAATGTAACATGCAGTTAATGTAGCGTTGACCTTTTCAAAAAAGGTTGTCACCAACTTCGTGCGCATGGCCAACGATAACGATAATAATGAAAGAAATACATTCAGTGCCTAACTCACATTGTCCTGGGATAACCGCAGACTCAAATTTATTTTTTAGGTTTAGGGATGTTCTCTTGTCATGACGTGCAGAGACCCATCTTTTTCTTCTCTTTCTAAATGCGTCTTTTATCTGTTGAGGTCAAGTGATAAAATTTAGCTCAGTTTAAGTCAGTTATTCAATACCGGTTGAAAGGGAAAGATAGATATCAATTTTAACAGAAAATGACTGATTAAGCTTAAGCTTACAAGAATGAAAAAGGATAAAATTAGTTTTAGAGACATTGAGTCCTAATCTATTAACTTTCATCCATTCGGCAATGTATCTAAGTTCCTGATTTAAGGCTGATTCAAGGAGACCAAGGCTCTTTCTAGAAAAAAAGAGGTTAGTATCATAAGCAAATAAATGAAATTTTAACAAACTATACGTATTAAGGCAAGTCATTGACATATAATAAGAATAAAAGAGGTCCTGGAATAGATCCTTGTGGAAACCACAAGACACAGGTAAAGAGAAAGAATTATGGCCATTTACACTTACAAACTGTTCTCTTTGGGATAAATATGAATTAAACCATTTATATACAGCACCTCTTAATCCCTAATGGGTAAGCTTAGTTAAAAAAAATTGCATGATTGACAGTATCAAATGCTTTTTTCAAATCGACAAATATTCCACAGCCAAATTCATTATTATCAATGGACTGCCGAATAGATTCGGTGATAGAAATAAGAGCATCGGAAGGCAAACATTTTTCTCTGAAAACAGGCTGGAATGGATAGAGAATTATTAATTCTTCCAAATATCTATACAGGCGACGATACAGCTTTCTCAAATAATTTACTAAAGTTGGAAAGAACAGAAATTGGTCTATAATTGTCTTTGTCAAATTTTGAACCTTCTTAAAAACAGGGCTTTACTTTATCAGGAAAATTACTACTACTAAAGGAATCATTGACTACTAATGGAACACAGATAATGGAACACGGATAATGCGGGCCAGCAACGGTTAACGATGGAGAACGCTGACAAGAACAGCAACCGGAAGTTCGATGTCTCACTTGATGGAATGCTTCCGTCTCACTAAGCAAATCTCAATGCCTGTGTTTTAGCTCCCGCCGTATGAAAATTTGTCGAGTGTACAGTACACTGTACTGCAACTGATCCCCGACCGTAAATGATTCCCAGACCGAAAATGATCCTCAAAATGGACTGCAAGTGATCTTCGACCGCAACTGATCTCCATTGTCGACCACAAATGATCAGGAGAGGAAACTTAGAATGGCCTCGACTTAAGTTACCGGATCATGGTGTCACGTTGGAGTTTATTATCGTAACAAAAAGTGTTAATTAAACTGAATAAATTTAGCACATAAATGTCAAGACGGAAAAAGAAAAACTGTAAATAAAACACAAAGAAATGCAAATAATAAAAAACAAACAAACAAACAAGCAAACTTGTATTACCTGTTTGTTAAGAATGCAATGAAATATGAAGATCATCAGGCCCTGAAGAGAGTTGAATATGGTGAATATATACTTGAAGATAATGGTATCCGAATTGAAACTCAACAACCCAAACAGCCAAGTGATTCCAAGCAATGGAAGAATGACCCCAGAGGCCTTGACTCCAGTTCTCACTTTTTCCACCTGTGTCTTGTTCTGCATATATTTTGTTCCCATCATTTGGCGCATAACCAAAATAAAAACCACGATATTAACCTGTAAAAGTCACAGAAATTGCATGTATTTTGCCCCATCATTTGGCGCATAACCAAAATGAATACTACCATATTAACCTGTAAAAGTTGCAACAATTTTGGCAAGTAACCTCGAACCACGTTACTCTTTGAGCTTCAAGGTGGAAAATGTGGCGAGAATTTTGTTTCAGGTCCATTTTTTACTTGGCATTACTTAATGGCGTTTCCATCATACACAAGATGCTACTGTAGAGTTATGAAGACGACATCAGACAAATGTAATCCGATCGGGGATCACTAACCATAATATATTTTTAGTGATTTTTTCAAAATCTTTAAGTTTGATTGCCATCCCAACCTGACAAAACAACTAACATTTCGCGACGCCACCACTTTTTTCCCCGCGAACTGACGTCTGAGAAACGAGCACAGAAATTCCATACTGATGACGCGTCACTGCCCAGATCTGGTAAGTGCATATGGCTAGCCGAAGAAAATTTTCCACGCGGCACGACCAATCAGAAGTACTAACCAGATCTGGGTAGTGACGCGTCATCAGTATGGAATTTCTGCACTCGTCTCTACGTCATTTCGCAGGGAAACCAGTGGTGGCGTCTCGAAATGTAGACTGTTTTCTAAGGCTGTTGCCATCCCGACGAAGCAACAGGCGACTGGAAACTGTTTTAATCATCCTAAATGTACTTTCAGCAACAAAACTTTACCATTATTTACGGAATGCAATTTATTGGAAGACATGTTTTACCAACACAAACTATTTTCATTGACATTTCGACTAGTCAATAACAAGTTTTAGACTTTCGGAATGAATTCCATGTTTTCTCCAGTTTTGCAATGTCTATTCCCGTACATCTCACTGAATTTTTTGGTTTGTAAGCCTTTAGAATGACCCGGCATCAGTTGCTTCCGGCAGGCCCAAAATATTTATTATCTTGAAGAGCCTATGACAGATAACTTTATAATCTTTATAATCTAGGCTTTTCTGAAATATTTTAAAGGAGAAATAGAAGGGAAATTAGGTGTAGCTTCAGTAGCTGACTGCCTCCAACTTAAACAACGATTTGCTTATTGATAGTGCGTTGAGGAAGAGAGACTTCAAAACACACTTGCCCAGATAGAGTATTTTTCATCTTCAAACAACAGTCGGTTCAAATGGTTGAAAAGGCTTAATCTACCATAAGGGTACAGGCGCGGATCCACACGGGTTTCCACAGGAAATCGGTCAGATTTTTCAAAATAAATATATTTTTTATAACAAAAATAAAAAAAACACTTTCCAAGTTGAAATCTGGCCAATATCCCGTCTGAATGAATCGGAAACCCAGGAAAGGGGACTTAAAGGATTTTTAAAAAATCCAAAACATTTCCTTGGGGAGCCTACCCCCGGATAAACTTGCGAGTTCGGTGCTCGTTCAGGAAATCAGTCAGTACTTATCCTAGATCCGCGCCTGGGTTAGGCATGATAAGACTAGACACGTTCAATGTGTTTTTTACTGACCAGAATAACACCTAGAGCTGGGACAATAAAGGCCCAAATCAATCCCTCATCAGCATTCAACCAGCAAGCTTCTTTGTGACCATATCTTTTCAGCTGGGTGACAGACAGCGAAATTATAACCATTATGGCTGGAAAACCTAGAAATTTTAAAACATGCCGTAAAATTTCGAAAATTAGCCCCTCCATGTATAAGCCACTCCAAATAGAAGCCTCTCAAACTCTTAACGTTAAATCGCCCCTCCAAGGGGTGGGGGCGGGGGGGGGGGGCTTGTACTTGGAAGTTTGGAAATTGCCTTTAAATACAAAGTAAAACAAAGAAAAATGGTAAACTTCCTTTCAAGTATGAGGCTAGTCCAATCGATTTGGAAACGCGAATTTCCCTCCCTACATAAGCCGCTCTGAATATAAACCCCTCAAAATGGGCCTCTGAAAAATATAACCCTCCGGACTTATTATTGGAATTTTACGGTAATTAGACACCAATATGACACGCATAATAACATCTTAACAGCATCATGCCGCTATTCTGTGTGTGTGTTTTTTTCCCCTTGGTTTGTTTTCTTTGTTCTTTTATTGGTGCCTTTTTTCGGCTGTTTTCGTTATTTATTTATTTATTTATTTTTGTTTTTGTTTATATTTTCATGTATAGACGCAGAAAAGACGCAACAATCATGTTACCTACTAAGCTTTCTTACAAGAAACCCTGAAGTGATGGAATTTAAACTAGATTCTTAGTCAGGTTTATGTGATATAGAGTGTTTTCACGTGACGTCACGGCGGTCATATTGGTGTCCCAAAACAATGAAACGGCGACCTTGTTGGTGTCTCAAACCAATCCTGTAGGAGTTGAACTCTTTTCTTGTGCAAACGCTTTCTTTTGTTCCAATAAATTTACATAGATACTGACCATGTGAGGGAAAACGCTTTATAGCCGACAGTATCGATCAAAAGGTGCACGTGACCACGTTTACACTAAATCAAATTGAGCTGAACGTGAGGAACTTTGTATTCTCAACATTCGCAAGATTTTCCTTACTTAGCAGCGTTTTTATTTTTCTTTTGCTGAAAAACGATGACGAAAAGATGTGCTATTCTTTAAAGGGTACTTTTTAGTTTTGGAAGAACTATAAATTGCTCCAATCCTTGCTCTGAAGTAGAATGACTTGTTTTGTTGTATCCCTTGGCAGTTTTGGCTCAAACTCCTGCTACATACATTTTGATGTACTGCAATGCATTTTCATCGACTTTTACTGCCGTTTGTTGCTTCCAACTCAGGAAAGAGGTATTGAGCTAGATTGGACGCTACCTCTTATCAGAGCTCAGATAGAACTGTCCAGCACCTTTGTTTATGACTACAAATGAGCTAGAGTGGCAGTTCTGCAAAGAATTCGCACCTCACCCAGGGGGGACAAACGACAATGATGCCCATGCCTGTGAACCGAATTACATACCACAGTGCAAAATAAAATTATCGCAAAAATACTCCCCGTCAATAAATTTACAACTCTGAAATTTTTGTCACTCCTTCCTTCAATGAATGGGTAGTTTTTTTTCTTGATTATTTTGTTTTGCTCTGCAATACATGTTTATACAGTTCAGTTCGCAGACATGGGCATCATTGCCATTCGTCCCCCCTGGCTGAGGTGCGAATTCCTCGCAGAGCTGCCGCTCGTGCTCATTTTCTGATCATAAACAAAAGTGCTGGACAGTCCTATCTGAGCTTCGATAGAAGGTAGCTTACAATCCGAATACCTTTTTCCTGAATTGGAAGCAACGTACAGTAGGATAAGCCGTTGAGGATGCATTGCGATACGTCAAAATGTATGTAGCAGTAGTTTGAACCAAAACTGCCTTGTGATGTTATAAAAATGTCGAGGAAGACGTCATTCGACTTCAGAGCAAGGTTTGGAGCAATTCATAGTGCTTCTAAAACTAAAAAGTTAATTTTAAAGAATAGCACGATGGGCAATCGGCTTTTTTTTTTCAGAATTGGCAAATATTGAATTTACTTGTCCCGAAAATTCGAACTGGTGGCTCCTTCTACCTGATAGTAATTTATTTTTGAAATCTAAAACAATTTTAGAGCTGAATTTTGAGCGACTTTTAGTTATGGACTTCTGCTCCAACGATTTTTCTGAAATTTCTTTGGCATATTTATTATATCAATAAAAGCCGATACCAGAAATTTCAGTTAATAATATCAGGAAAATTTTTTGCTAGACGCGATTTTCTTTGAACAGTAGGGTACTTTTAAGCGCTAATTTCTCAAGAAATATTGACCATCAATAAAATCGGAAAATTTCACATTATTACCAAATGACTTCTGTTGTTCTTTGCAAAGTTTCGCAGGGATCGCGTAAAAACGAAAAAGTTATGACGGAAAATTTGTCACAGCTAAATGGTTTCGTATTAATTACGGAGCCACCTTAAGTCTGTTGGTAATTTAGTCACAACGGCGTTTTGTAGTCGTAATTTTTCCTCCCTTAGCAGGACTGACCTAAAATCTCCTTCCTGGTAGGCCAGGTATCTTTTTTCATTTTATTATTTATTTATTTAACAGACTTATATATTTCAAATGAACGCGAAGAGTCCAGTCTAGTCCTGTTTTACAGGGATAATAACAGCCTTACACAGTATTATATACTCGTTTCTTCCAACAGGAAAATCTTAGAGAGTCTACCTACCCCATCCGAACAAGTAAAAGAACTTGACTTTATCCTCAGCGTGTCCATGAAGAACTCGTACGATAGCAATGTAATGCAGTATGCCTTCACACAGCATCCATGAAAATAGGGCGAGCAAAAAATAGTGCAGTAGGGCAGCGACCACAGTGCACTCGGGCTACAAGTTAAGATAATACAGAAGACTATAAATCATTTTAACTTATATATTTAATACGCCACTTGTACCTCCCACAATGCACCTCACTTGCTCCCCCAAATTTTGCATTTTGGGTATCACAGCCGTCCCAAAAACAAATTGAAAACAATGCTTATGCAAAAATCCGAGGGGTGGTGGCGGAAAGGGGGGGGGTGAATTTTGCATTATGGGAGATGTGCAAGCGGCGTATAGCTATTTTCTGATACGTGAACGACCGACAGAGGCTTACTTCGCTGACTCGAATATTTCTTTAAATATTCAGATGGGCAATTTATCAGTGGCGACCAAGAGCCCGCTCTTGGTGGGGACACTATAGGCGACATTTGACTTCAGCTATCAGAATTTATTTCAGTTTTTGCTTTCTTATTAGTAAATTTGTCAGTCTCACTGACGTTTAATAAATCAATAGCCCTCTAATCTACACAAGAAAACAACGAACATAGCCAGTCTTAACGTCTTATTGCTGCTGACAGTTTCGATGACTGTCAGCCATCTTTATCAAAACTTGAAAAACATAATTAACATTGTCGACTGTTTAACTTCACTAGCCTGATGAATTTCTTCAAGAAGAAAACAACAAACTGAAGAATTTTGGAAGTTGTAGAAAAACGACATCATCGCAGTGCAAGTGTCCTATAGTGTGGAGTCTATCACGATATTGTCTTCTAATTTGAAAAATTTTACATACCTCTTTGTTTCTTGCTGAGCCTTCCAATATAGCAAGTATACAACTACAGGCAATGGCAGCGCATAAGTTTAGCAAAACTTTTACTCTCGAACATTTAATTTCCCTCCAGAAGACCAAAGTAACAGCCATGGTAAGAAGAACAGAAAACAGTGAGATGGAACAGCCAATTATCGATATGATTTCCAAGGCTTTCTTGTGAGGTAATGTCGTCTTAAAAAAAGGTAAGATAGTTGGTTAGAATCGACCACGGTATACTTACTTGACCCGAAAACGCTATTTCCGTTAATTGCAATGTTTTGATAGTCAAAGACAAGACAAAACGTAGGCTTCACTACAGCATGCATGTAGCAGAAAGATCAAAGCAGTGAATATTAAAATGTTAGTTATGATACGAAGTTTACTCATCGAGATACAAAGCACTCTTCGGTCTTTGGGTTAGGCAACAATTCAAGCTAAGAATGGGGAGTATTTTATAGACAAGAAACGTGGCAAAAATCAGACTAAGACAGCTGGAATGAAACGTGGCGGATAAAAGGGCTTAAGGGCCTGTTTACGTGAAGGTGGGGGATCCCAGGTAGGTGGGGTAAACCGCTTAGGCGGGGTACCCACATGTCCATAATTATGATCTCTCATTTTAATTTGATCACGTTTACATGATAGGTGGGGTGACCCACCAAGGCGGGTAGCCCGGTCTGCCAGACCGGGTAACCCTCTCAGCCGGGGTTAAATTTTGCCATGTAAACGTTCAAGGTGGGGTAACCCCACTAGCCGGGGTTGGATTCAAATTCGCACAAAATTCACTTTGACGGTGGCTTTGCATCATTATTAAAGCCACAGCAATGAAGGTGGCAGCAAGAGCAACATTTGAGTGTAGACGAGCATTAATCGCCAAAGCACGTGGTTTGCCGGCATTTTTCTTGTTTACGTACTCAGCGACCATTCAATAATCTTGAGAAAGTGCAACCCGGGATGGCGGGGTAGATTGCATGTAATGGACGGATATTTCTTACCCCACTTAAGCGGGTTACCTCTCCTACCTGGGGTCCCCCACCTCCATGTAAACAGGCCCTAAGTCATAGCGAGTTCCACATTCATTATCAAAGCTGCATTGAGATTATAACTAAGTTTTCTCTGGCATCTTTGCTCATACTTGGGACAGCCTAAAAGACTGAATATCAAATAATGATTCTGCCGAAGTGGAACCTGATAATATGTTTTTGGTAATTTTTCGAAAACACCGAAGTTTAACCTAAAACGTCAGCCAAATTATGTCAAGTTACCGCACCAGTCGTTCTCCATCCTGGCCATGGAAAGCCAAAGACATGTACTTATATATTGAAGTTCAGTAGTAGAATAAGTTTAAGAACTAAACAATTATTTATTGATTGTCTTTGATTTCAACATTTTTTTTTCGTAATAAAGCCAAGAAATCTTGGCATAGCTCCTTAAAAGACATGTGCGAAGGTAAACAGTGTCAGTAGGAATCTACGCGATCTAATTCAAAGGGAAATGTAATAATTAAAAAGGACCAGGAAACGTCCGCATTCAAAGCAAGTAGAGAAAATCCAAATTGACTGTTCTTTCTATCACAAATATGTAGTACCTACATTTAAACCGTATGGATCCATAAGAGCTGCAAAGACAGTTAGGTGGTCACATTCACATGTTGTGATCGAGGCGTTTGACTGGCTGCGGACAAGTTGGCAGCCGCTGGTTTTCCACATGGCAGGCGGTTCTTTTGGGCGCCAAAAGACACAATGCGTCTCCTTTGACGTGAGGGCACGTGGAAGCACCTTGAAAAGAGACACAGATGAACTTCAAATATGTTAACCACGGTGTTGCTGAAAGTACTTCATTTATAACGCTCAGGCTCAGTTCTAACATTAGATAAGAAAGTGAAATGGTTATGAATGAAGCCTTTCTTTCCCCCTTTCGATTTAATTTCCTGGGCCGGGTTGTTCAAAGCAGGGTTAAGATAACCCGGGTTAGAACGACATTTGAATTCAGATATGAAAGCTTAAAAGGCAAATTCAGTTTTATTCTTTTTGCCTACAATTTGATGATTTGTTGCTCTTAAAAGAATAAAGAAAATTATCCGGGAAAGCGCTTTTGAACAAAAGAAAAAGAAACCAAGGTTAAAATTTAACCCTCGGTTAGCGCTAATCGGCCTTCGAACAACTGGGGCCTGTTCTCTGTAGTCATGTGAAGACAGTCGAAATATAATTGAGACTGAAACAGTGCCGATCATTTTATTTTGGAAATTGCAAAAATCCACTGCAGCAACCTCTAAATCTTGTAGCCATATGGTAGAGTTCCTGAAATTTCCAGCGCCGGTGCGTATGGCGCACATCACCATGCATGTGTCATTTGTCAATCAGAATACCCCAAACTACGCCAACTATTCAACGTCTGGCTTTGAGAATTAGGACCAACGCTAAAAAAATGACCTTTTAAGGAAATACATGTACTATGCAGCCGTCGACGATCGACGACCAAATGACCGTATTTAAATAAAACTTTGTGACCAAAACTGTCTTTATACCTTTCTGTTTTGAAGGATAATCTTAACAGGGTTCTTTAAGTCGTCCAGGGGCCTGGGCTCAACGGTGGAAGAAACGATGGTACTTCTGGGAAACATCTTGCCACCAGTTCTTTTCTTGAGTGATAACACACCGCCCAATGTCAAATAAACCAAGGTAACAACTTTGGAATCTTGAGAGGAATGAAACACTTGTGGAGGTGAGAAGATGGAGCTTTGATTGTATGCAACTTGCAAACCATCTTTGCGCAGCTGAAAGAGAGAAAATGAGCGTAACCTCTCACATTATAGACACTCAAACACACAGCAAAGCTCTAATTTAAGCGGGTTCCCTGCAATATCAAGAAATTTTAGAACCCTCCGTTTTTCTTATAGGTCAATTCCCTGACCTGTCGTTACTACTTTTCCTTGGCAAAGTTTGTGTCCATTCTAAAATGTCTGTCAACATTTCGTCTATTTTATGTTTGGTTTTGACAAATACATGTCAGATGCAATCAAAAAGAATGAATACCTATTCTAGAGAGTAAAGAACCTACTAATCAACTCTAACCTATTGTAGCTTCATATTAACCCTCGGACGTACACGAAAATTCATACCCCCAGCGTGGTAAAAGGGGGGCGGGGGGTGGATGTAACCCGTCCCCGGAGTTTTTGATATGTTACAGTATTTTGAAACGATTTTACCTTTAGTGGAAGGGTCGCCATCTTGGCCGCCATCTTGGATTTTACCAAGAATTTGAAATCAGGTTAAAACCGGGAGGAATAGTAATTCTTTGTGCTTTACATGAAAAATAACACATAAATAAACACTTTGCAGGATTTTAGTCACAAGATTTACCATTATTGTTGAAAAAAAATGAAAAAACATGTATTTTCACGAAAAATTGGCTTGACGTCCTGATACTTATGACGTCATATCTCGTAACCATAGCAACTGACCATTAATGATTCAACGAAGGCAATGAAACCAAAAAAATAAATAGAAGGATATTCACGGCTGGGGCCCGTTTCTCGAAACACCCGGAAACTTTTCTGGCCCGAAGGCAAATTTCTCAAATCAAAATCAGTTGAATAGTAGCACAGTTCCAAACACACAAAATGTCAGTTTTGCTTCGTTAACTGATAGTTTCATTGCAGTATTTTTAAAATTATTGAGACTTTGATCTTGAATGAAACACAGCAAAACAAAATAGCTTTCCTGCTGGCCTGAAAAGTTACCGGGACTTTCCAAACAGGTCTCTAGCTAGTCTCTCAACATAAGCCAGTTTCCATTACCCCGCCCGGCAGGCGTTAACTTGAATAGCCTGTTCCAAGCGTTCAGATAGTGGAGAGCGATGCGAAGTAAAGAAAGCGATGAAAAGTACAGGGGGATTGGGGAGAGAGGTGCATGAGTTCTTGTAAGAATTTTTGACAAAAGTGCGTTCCGGTATACCAGATCCTGGTATACCCTCTGATTGGTTGATTTTGACAGTTTTTGTCAACAGTGGAGCGTGTTCCATCACAGAGAGAAACGCGCTTTCGCGGTGATGAGAGACTGTACATCCCGTCACGCAGAATTCGAACTCGCAACAACCACAGCGCTAAGTGACTTCCCAAACGTGGAGGCTAAACACGAAGAGCAAAGAAACTGTTTAAAACACCTAGTCGGGAGGATAGATGTCTTTGAAATTTTACCGACTGGCTTTGGAAAAAGTCTTATTTTCCAACTTTTTCCTCGAATAAAGAGTAAGTTGGAATGAAGGCAGGATAGAATGCCATTTACGATTGTTGTGGTAACTCTGTTGATTGCCATCATGAAAGACCAAGTGGAATATTTGAACAAAATCGGAGTTAAAAGGGGAAGCTGTGAAATTGTATACTGAAGTCCCAAATCGTGGTTGTCTAAGGAATGGACAAAAGGACTTCAAGAAAGAAAAGGTTGGAAAGCTAGTTGCGATCATCGCAATTGACGAGGTTCACTCAATCATCGAATAGTAAATTTTCCCTTCAATTGTTGTGCACTTTCATTGCTTGAGTTAACGGCTTTCTTTCGAAATTAGCGATATTTGTTTGTCGCTTGATTCATAATTTTTTGTCATGTACACGCTGAAATCATGTTTTAAGGCCGTACAAAAATTCATTGTACATGAACACTTCTCCCGCTGTCTGTTGTCTGAAAGTCTTACATTAGGTTTTTAGTAAGATTATGTACACATAATATTAATTTTTGATCTGAGAAATTTTGATTTATTCGCAAGAAAAGTAATAAATGTATGGGGTTGTAACACCAGTCATGATTGACAAGTGAAGACCATCTATAGCTGATGCGGTCTGAGTGGGCGGAAGAGTCTATTTAAGACAAGTCTTACAGCCGTTCCCTCTCTCACCTCTCCTCCTCCCTCGCTTTTAGTTTATCGCGCTCCTTTTTACTTCGCACCGCTCCCCACTATCTGAACGCCTGGAACAGGCTATAACTTGAATGGTTCCCTGAGTTTCGCCAGGGTTTGCAAGACACGCATTTCTAGTTTATTAAGGGCCTCTTCACACATCAGCCCGCCGGGTTGACCGGGTTGGCCCAGTTTCCGGGATCTCATAGGAAAAGGCTGGCTGGCTCGGTAACCGTCAGGCCTCGGTAAGCGGGTTGCCATATGAACAATTCAGCCTAGTCTAGATGAAGACGGGATGAATTTAGCGGCCCGGATGGTATCGTCTTGCTTTGCCTGCTGTATTTTCAACATTATAAGCATCCCATTTGACTGCAGTGATACATCTAGAAGAGTTGCCAAAGCTATGATAGGCGCAAAAGTTTTGACTTTCTGTTTCGCCATGTTTGCTTTGTTTCTCGAATTTCGCGCTAGAGCTCGTCGCCCGGGTCTTCGGCCTTTTTTTTCGTCTCAGAAACCAGGCTGAAGTTTCTCATGTGATCCCAAGGAAATATTGCTTTGTCCCGGTAACCGGCCCATGGAAGGGGCTCTAATAGCATTGTACTGATAGAGTACAAGTTGAGTTGTTTGTACCGTGCTGTTTTGATCAACGTAATCAATCGTCATCATCAAATTTCTGGATTGAAAAACCATTTTCGTCGATGCGTTAAGTGTGGCCGCGACTCCCAGTCCATATGCATCCATCGTCTTAACCATCATTTGACCCTTGTTTTGACCAGCCTGTGGAGAATTCAAACGAGTTTAATAATTGTTGTTGCTGTGAAAATCCTGTCCTATATACTATACCTCAAAAGGAGGTAGAACACTCCTGTGCTTTAGACAACGTACCATTTGTTATATCGTTTTATGAAGAAAAGCTGACTACCGTAAGTAGAAATTCATTACTACGAACGAAAACAAAGCGCAAAACATAGAGCTGCGATTATGTTTTGCAACTATGTATAGTGATAGTTATGGTTACCTTGAAATTAATGTTTTGGAAACCCAATAAGAATATGATAAGGTCAATAAAAACGGAAGCCCAGTTGGTAGGAAAAGATATAAATTAGAGTTTCGATTGTGTTTTACAATCAGAAAAACTATAAAAAAAATTACTGCTCTTGTGCCGATTATATGGCTGTTGACACCGACTGCACCGCCTTAGCGCAGTGGCTATTAGTAAATTTAATGTAGTAAACCGTGTCAGGAGCCCATGAGTATCTGACAGTGTTCAAGGCTCTTTGCTGTCTTTTAAGTTGGTGTTTCTTCTCTTTTCCTTAAAACTTAAAACTTTAACATTAAGGTTTTCTTTAAGGACAAGGGTTTAAGAGGTGTCCGACGTCCTTTTGAGCTCTACAATTTATTATGTAGACTTTTCCGCAGAACTTCGATGGGGCGTTATTGGATGTCGACTGAGCGCAAGCGCGAGAACTCAAAAGGGCGCTTCCCTCGTCGCTTACCAACCAAGTTTTGCACTCCCACTTGCATTAAGAATCTGTGCACGCCTTATTTGAGCACCTGCAGATGAGGGAGGCAAATATCTAAATGTCTTAACTGTCTATCGGCAGGTTCCACAAATGATTTCGGCTCTATTTAATCCCATACCCTTTTATATAGTAAAACGTTTTAAAGAGAGCTACCTACAAAAATGGGCACAGTTACTAGCAAGATATTAGTAAGCCAAGAACGTAAAGAGAGAGGAATAGGTTATAACTTACAAACACATCAACTATAAAGAACAAATAAAACTTAACATGCATAGGAAAGGTCGTGGTGAGGTGGCTCAGTCTTCTTCTTCTTTTTTGTTCCAAAGGAACTTCTGATCACAGGTTGTAATATTCAAATTGCGCGCACACACGCACCTAAATCTCGCTAGCTGATCGGTGCAGAGAAGCAGTGTTTATTGGAAATAAGCGTAGGCGCCACAATGATATAAGGACACGTGTACGGGGAAGTTTTGTAGGTAATGAGCAGTAGCTAGTCAGTTTAAGAATTCTGCTGCATCTCCGAATCTTCAGTCACGTTTTGATATCTGATGTCTTGACATGAGCTGAAGAGAAATATCTTAAAGAAGCTAGTCTTGTAAACAAGAAATGGCAATGTTACCATGCAACATAATGCCAGGTCAACAGACTTACTTTATCAAGATCTATCCAAGTTCTTCTGTTTACTGGTTCCAATAAATTACTGGCCATTTTTACGTAGTTTTGGAAAGCTTCTTTCGAACTAACGTTACCAAATCTATCATTATATTCAGCTATTTGAAAAAGTATATCCGTTGCTATAATCAAGTCTCCCCCATAGATCTGTGCCGGTCTTGAGGAGCTAGCGCTGTTACTTCTTGGCTGTGTAACACTAAAGAGTTTTGAAAGCACTTGTCCAACATTGAGGTCTGAATGAAGGCCACCCATAATTGCGTGCGTCTAAATGAAAAGGGCAGTTTAGAATTAAGTTCAGGTTAAAGAAGTCTTTCTTTTAAGGCCTCGTCCCTACAAGCCAAGACAGGATAAAACGGCATAATTAAATAAATTTGAAAATATCCGGTTGTAATCGCCTACACGAATTTGCAAATCTGACGGATCCAAAAAAGAAACAAAAGACAAAATAAAATAAAACAAAACAAAACATTCTGGAGAGTACAGTTTCGATTAAAAAAGATGCAGTTTCAACAAGTGGGTTCACTCAGTTTTGTGTGGACGGAAGGTCCTCGTGTAAAATGAAAGATAAATAAAGAAAGAAATAAAGAAATAAAGAAAAGAAACGGTAAAGAAAAGAGAAAAAAATGTGGTTTCAAAAAAATTAAGATTCGTGTGGACGAATTCTTATAAGCCATTGTACTGGTGCCATATCTAACACTAGATTTGTGAATTTAATACTTTAGGCCATTTGTAAGATGACGTCTTTTTACCAGTAAGACCAGAATTCATCTCGCTTTTTTTTTTTCCTCATTGTAATTTGGTAATCCCAGCAAGGTTTTTGATAACAAAAACCCTAATTTGCACTAAGCAAGCAATGCCTCGTGCAAATGGCCTACCGTCAAGCTTCAATGTAAATAGCGCAAATAACCATTATTAACAACACTGTGTTACAGAGACACGAACGAAAACATATTAGGACAAAATTAAACAGGCCGACAAAGATTGACTCGTCGGTATTACCTGTACTTATTTCCTTGTAAACTCAGAACTGTTTTTTTTTTCTTTTGTTTTTGTTCTTGTTTCTTTTATCAATTTGAAATGGAAAATTCTTTCTTTTCTATTAGTATAATTACATTGATGATTATCGAAAATAGGGCGCTATGATTGGCTAGGAGCTTTGCTTTATCCCGCTATAATCATCGCGCGGTGATTATAACATTGAAGGCTAGCAGTTTTTAAAATGGCAGCCAGATTTATTGATATTTCGGAGTCGGAAATTGATCAATAATTTTATTTTCTCTAATAATCATGAATGTAATTATACTAAAACAATTAGTCGCCTCAGGCGACGTGAATATCTGCAAATAGTCACCTCTACCTCGTCTCAGTGACTATTCGCCGATATTCACGTCGCCTGAGAGGACTAATTGTTGATTCTAATTGTTAATTTTTGAAGGTCTCCTGTTCTCAAATAAGATAACAATATACCATGTTAGCGAGCTTGAGAAACTCAGGAGAAGCGCAGCCTGTAAAGTTCGGTTTTCTCCAATTTCCTGCCTTAGAACACGTTCGCGACGAAGAGCCTACAAAGAAAGAAATGTGTAAATAGCAAACTTGCATCGACTGGGGATTGATGATAATGTTCAATTGTTCTGTTTAGAAGATAAGCTGGCAATAATATTACGTTTCATTTTTCTATACCCAGTTCATCTTATTTACTTGTTTATGAAACATACCCCCGAGCTCAAAACATTGTAAACGACAGGCAAATTGCAAATAGCTATGCTGTACCTGAAAAACGTTTGACTTAGGACTAGGCCAAACATCAAACGTTTCATGAGAGTTGCCGAACTTAGTGAGTTAAGTTCATGAAAGTTCGAGGTCTGGCCCAGTTACGTTCGTCTGAATTAGTAGGGATCGTCCAACACGACAAATGTCGATCTTCACATGCGATGAACTAAACTGATAAAATAACCCTCGGACATACATGCACCGTTGAACAAGGGGCCGGGGGTGGATGGAACCCCTCCCCGGAGTTTCTGACATGTTACCTTTAGTGGAAAGGCTTTGATCTTCTTAACAAGATGAGTTATATTTTATGGGTGGTGGCGCTGCTGGAGGTCGTGGGACCTCACCAACAATGGTCGCCATATTGGATGTTATCAAGAATTAGAAATCAGGTTAAAACTGCGAGGAATAGTATAATTTGGGCTTTACATGCAAAATAACACATAAATAAACACTTTGCGTGATTTTAGCTACAAGATTTACTTTTATTGTTAAAAGAAGTTGAAAAAAAAAATGTATTTTAACCCAAAAATGACTTGACCACCTGCTACTTATGACGTCATATCTCGTAATCATAGCAACTAGCCATCACTGAACTTGTCTCAAAAAGTGCGCAAGGGATGAAAAAAAAAAAGCTAGTAAAAACGTCAGGTACTGATGTTTTATCCTCTAGGGAAAAACTCAGAAAAACCTCGGGGGGAGGGGGGCATCCCCCCCCCCACCTTGTACTTCCGAAGGTTAAAAAATTGTTTGATAAGGTATATTTAGCCTCAGCTCGTTGGAGAGAAAATTTAATAAAATTACTTTTTGGTCTGATTCAGTTGTTTGTTTCGGTGCGTCCTAAGTTCGACGTCTGACCCAGCAGATGATCTTAATCTAATTTAGGTCGGGCCCAAATTAGAATTAAGTTCGTCTCATGAAAAGTTCGACTTTAGGCCTAGCTTAGCCTTACGCATTCAAGCAGCCGGTAGGTGCTGATTAAAGAATATGAAAGTATATGTACCTCCGTGCACGTGGAAATATGTCACAATCCACAACTGATAACCCGATCAAAGCGAATTAATGCATGTAATTGGGAAATATTATCTAGCATTGAAAACATGTCTTGCTTTATAGGTACGTCTTGTTTGACTGGGTTATTTGTTATTTTTATACCATGGTAAAACTCTGGGCATTTTAAATTTATTTAGGTATATTTTTGTTCTTTTTTTCATGCGGATATATACACTATGAACTGCAATGTTATGAAAATCCCATGAAAATGTCTTTAAAAACCCAGGAAAGCATTTTTAAGGGCATGAATTTCCTCTGAAAAGTTGATAATGGTTTTCATGGCTCATGAAATTGCCATGAAATATCTGGCACCAGGGTTCATGAGCCATGAAAAGTTGGTGTGTTTTAGATTCCATGGGCCATGAAAATTACACTCAGAGATTTCAGGGGTCGTGAAAAATGAGAAATGATAATTTCGATTTCATGGGTCATGAATATACCATTAAATATGTGCCATATTGGACCATGAAACCATATGAATTGATTTCATGGGCCATGAAAATTCTAAGAAATCAGTTCCCTGGGTAGAATCACACCCCGAAATGTGTAAAAGTACTGTATAACATAAAGCGACTGCAACATTAAACCTCAGAATCTTTGGCCATGTTGTACCATGAAGGACACTCTTTGCTTTTAATGGTTTAATACAACTGCTATTTTTTCACAAAGAATGACACATTGTCAGTTCCCACATATAACTAACAAAAAATCTACAAAAGCAGTCATATATGAGCTTTACAGACCAACGAAGCCTCTTGATTACAGGCATTGACTAGAATAAAGTCAGTACCAGTGTCTGTAATAGACCAGTGATCACCTTAACAAAACTCTCTGGGCTCAATTAAACTGTCTTTGAAGTTCTAATCTTAAAAATTGCCTTGATGGTGTCTAGTAAAATACGATGATGCAACCTCAACATTATAACATCACACTTGAACATGAAAACAATTGTTCCTAAATTTGACACCAGACGACACCGTTGCATAATTATTGTTAGATGTACAGAGTGTTTATATTGATAAAAAAGCTATGTAAATGGTTTAAGTCCTTCTCATTCTATCATGCCAGAGTTGTACTTAGATTTCATGTCTAAGCAATGGCGTAGTCTTGGTGTGTTCAAGGTGTCTTTAGTTCAATCAATTTTCCGTACCTTTGAGCTTGTCCAACACGAACAGCGTCCACAACACGGTTTTCGTCGCAACTTTGATTTATAATGTAGTCCGGCATTTTCTTCCACAACTTAAAAAACAATGCTAAGTTTACCTCTTGCATTTAACTCTTCAAATACGATGGAATATTTGAATCAACGCTTAAAATAACCGCTCTTTTCACCCAAACACCGAAGCACGTTCTCGATTAGCCGCCATGTTTGTTGTTCCCAGGCTTCCATGTGACTTTCGCACATTTGCGATTTGATTTACTTTGTCACGAGCGGCTTTTGAACCAATAGACAAGCGTGAAATGAACTTCCGTTGAATAGTTCAAATTCACGCGGACTTCACAAGCGACAGAGTAGTTTCGTAAGATCCACTTTATTTTCGAGACAAGGTGATCAATGGCGAGTATGTTTCCAAGTCCGTTAACTCAGCTGGATTATGGCAGAAAGGTATGTTTTCTAATAACCATGCGCAATTAAGCTTAAACTTCACTGATATATATTAATGCACAGATATGCCATTGACTGATTCCTTAATTTGTTTACTGCAGAAATAACTGTACTGTTTGTTGCAAATCGTCAAGGGAATACTCTGAAAATTGTATGTTCTGGAGCTGCAGATTATGGCAGACTTGTCAAGACCAATGTTAAATAAAATAGGAGAAGACATAGGATAAGTTTCTTATATGCATGCATGCAATGTCTGCTACAAGTTAGAAGCATAGTTTCCAGTTATAATGACTTGAAAGTTGAATTTACATACAAAATTAAAATGCAGCCTGAAGATTTGTGTATTTGAACTTCGATTCATAATAATTGTATGGTACATGGCTGCAATTAAGGTAAAAAAAAAAAAAACAAAACAAAACAAAACAAAAAAAAACAGAGCACTAGCACTTTAAGGCTGATGCGTGGACCTTCAGTTCACAAGGCTGTTCGGCGACTTTGAAAGAAACAGTCATTTAGCTTTTTTATATATATACATGTAAATTATTGTATTATTCGAAGATGTTTATTTACTTTGTCTTTTCACGAAAATTGAGTGCTAAATTGCTTTTCTGTTACTTGGTACGGTGAGGGTAAAAGGCGGAATGAGTTTGCGGAATGGCATGGGGCATGGCTTGTGGAATGATATAATTATGTGGAATGGAATATTTGCGGAATGACCCAAAGAAATAAACTAAACTGAAAAGTGCGCCTTTTTTGGCGCCAATCAATCCGCAAACGTTAATATTGACATACGATTACAATCAATAAGCCACAAAGGCTCATTGTCGATTAGCCTTTTCCGCATAGCCACAACGATTCTTCTCGCCTTTATTAGTCGGGCTGCATGGCAGCACCGATACTACAGCACGAAAGTCGGCCATAATTGAAGAAAAAGTGTTTTGGAAGGTCACGCTCTCTTCTACTTTAAATTGTTCTGCAAAAATGTTTGCACAATTAACTTTACAGTTTCTTTTTACCTATATTTTTATTTGCAACCGCGTGAGAAGTGTTTCTTTTTCAAACGGTGGGTTACCTGATTGTGACATAATATTCAGCAATGAAAAAGATATTGCACATGTATTTTGTTTCTTAAGCTGCTTGGTTAAGTTTCCGGCACGCGAAGCTAACAGCTCGCGGAGAAGGGCGAGTCCGAATCCTGGCAATTGAGTGTGTGTCTTTTTTTCTTTTTTTTCCCCATCCTACAGCTTTAGCATTTTTTCACGATCAAACGCACACACTCACACAAATAAGGAAGGTGCGAAGACACGTGGAAAGGCCGAAAGGAGACAGAGAGCAGTTCGCTTCACTCCATTTCTGGATTACGTTTGACTCGGGGCGTTCATTTAGTCTCAAAAATGATCTGATCCGTTCACCGTATTAATTGATGATTCCTAGAATTGTAGCTAGCCCGACTTCACGTTCAACAAGCGTTTTTTTCCCTCTAGCGTTTTTACATTTGACTTTATTATAATGGTGGGCAGAGAGAGAGAAAGTATTGTCGAAAGCAACAAAAATAAATTAAGTATTAAATATTATTACACAGACATGAATGCAGTCAAGCTTATCGCTACTTTCTGCTTTGCCTCGTTGGTTTAAGCCAGCAGTTATAAATGGACCAGCAAAAATGTTGCTCCCTCAAATTGGCGCCAGAAAAAGGCGCAGCAAAGTTGCGCGCATGTTTTTCAGTTTAATTTATTTCTTTGCGCCTTTTTCCATATTTTACATTCCGCATAATTATGTCATTCTGCAAACCATGCAACATGCCATTCCACAAACTCGTTCCGCCTTTTACCCTCACCATACTTGGTAAACCTTAATAAGCAGAAATTGGAAAGAACTGGCCACTATGTCATGTAATATCATAATTATTACAATTTTAAAAATATTTCCAACAAAAAAATTGAAATCCAAATGTTAAATGTACATGATGATGTGTATGCTGAGTAAAGTAAATTTGAAAAGGGAGAATATTGCAGCTGATCTTGTCATTTGGATTATAAACGAACAATGTCTAGAGATTCCCCTAACAGGGTATGTTTTATATGTCTTTTTAATCATGACTGAAGCTAGAGGCTACTTAATGCACAATATTTATGTGTTGTCTTAACATGTAGGCAGTAGGGATGTCACTACCATTTCACATTGCCGGGTAAATCAAACAGCTAGGGATTTCTTTTGGTTCTATTTTTCTTCTATTTTCCTATACAACTAGCCCGCCCAGTCCCCGGCCCTCAGCTCTTAATGACAGCTCTGTCTAGATTTCATTCATGTGGTTTTTGCTCATATAGATCAGTGTCATGTGATTTTAAGTCAATTTCATGTTACTAGTGTTGTTTCACTTACCCCGAAGGGGGGGGGGGGGCTACTTCCCATGCATTCTCTTAAATGAAATCCAAAAGATGTTCTCACAACTTGCAAAGCGATCAGCAGGGTCTTGCCAGCGGATTTGTGTACTGATCATGCGCATTACGTCAAAAACCATAGATCAACGGTCTAGAGAAGAACCAAAAAACATGGCGGTCGAAGGCGGGACTGTTTCTCACTATTATATTTTGGTAATTCGCAAATTTATTGATTTTATGTCACTTTTCAGACATAGTGTGTGGTTTTCTTTTTCTGTTAAACAATTTCCCTCTGCAGAGTTTGGAATATGCAACACAGCTCCGTATAGCTGCTAAGAACCGCTGAAGAGTTGAGCTATCGAGCAGTGTTTTGCTGCAAACCTTAGGAAAGTTAAAGTCGCTTCAAGGTACAGAACTTTCAGTAGTAGTTGTGATTTGTTTATTAGGATCATTTTGAATTTTAACTTTGGATTCAAGGTGTTGACTGATCGAAATAAACGAAGTGAAATGTGATGAAGTGTTAACTTTTACTCAGTTATGATATGTAGAGCGGTAAGACCCTGTTTACATGGAGTGGGGGACCCCGGTCTAGTGGGGTAGGTTTCTTTTGTTTGGTGTCCTCCAGAGCGTGAAAACAAAAGAAACCAACCCCACTAGACCAGGGTCCCCCACTCCATGTAAACAGGCCCTAAGCTCATATTTATAAAGCTCTCTTGAATATACGTGCTTCCGATAAATTTGACACTTGCTCCAGTAATTTGTATCAGCATCAAGTTATCCTTGCCCGGCAAAAACGATGTAACCTATATATATCTATATATATAAATCTATCGAGCACGTTGTTGTTAAGATCTAACACGGTTGCGTTTTGGTTTCCCCCGCATTTCAGTACCGAAAGACAAATACGATGTGCAAGAAAAACAAAGATGTATGATATGATTTTTTTCAATTTTTTGAGCATTTCTGGTTTCCTCTGCCGGTTCGCTTGTTTCTTCTAAAAATATTTACTGTGGGAAAGATACTGTAATTATCCGCTGACCACCACGCCTCGTGACCGCCTTGCAAGTTGTGAGAACATCGTTTCTCAATCCCAGACCTCGTCTCTTCCTTCCTCCCCCCCCCCCGACTTACCCCCATGAAAGTGGTGGGGGATTATTTCAATTTTTTATGAGCCATTAAGATACCATGGAAATGAAAATTTTCACTTTAAGTCTGAGTACTCCTTTTTATGACGTGTCTGTTTTTGTGTATAACAATTTGAGACAATTATTATTACCCACTGAAAGAAAGAAAGTTTTATATTTCATCATGATCACAGCCAGCCGTGATTAATGTAATGATTCTTAGTAAATTATATGCTGGAATTAGGCAAGGCTTCTTCAAGTGTATATAAGAATTTTATTATCAAAAATGTTCCAGTTGTAAAGATATTGCAGTGATAAACGTTGCTTATCTACTCAAATTTTCTTAAAACTTTTTCCACATATTTTGTATGACAAAATGAAATTATTTATGATCAAAATTTTGAAATTAATAGATGATGATTTATGTCTGATATCAGATTTATACAGTTGCCAGGTAGAAAGAAAGCAAAAATATTTAATTGAATTGTTCTCGGAAGAGGTTATAAGGAATTTTTAAAATATTAAAATCCTTATTTGGCAATATTGCAGATTTTGAAGATTTTGGAAATTATTAGATTCTAAAGTTGAATATAACTTGTTCAGTAAAAACAGCCATATATTTTTAATATTAACTTTTTCATGTGATGGCAAGTCTGAATATGAAATGATACCGGAAAAAATATTGTTGTCTATTTAATGCCATGGAAAGGGTGGAATAAAGTCAATATCAATCAAAGATACATGTACATTGCTTGTTGAAGTTCAGTATACGTTCCAACGCATTTAGTTAGTGTTTTCATCATTAATTTTCCATTAGTGAGCTTGAATTAATTTGATTTGGGGGCCAGAAAAGAATGGTTAACAGTCAAGTACTTTTAATGTAGTTTCATGGTCCATGCTATATTTTGTTTACGCCATGAAAATAGTAGAAGGCCATTGAACTATTGATTTTCATGGGTCTTCCAAAAGCCACAAAAAAGCCATGAATATTTTGCATGGCCAATTAATCTTTCAACATTAATGGAAAAACCATGGGTTTTTCATGGGCCATGAATTCAGTGGCCTCATGAAAAGACCATGAACTACAACACCATGAAAATCCTTCCTTGCAATTCATGGCATTTTCAATGCCATTAAAAGGCCATGAAAAGCAACCCAAAATTTTCATGGTGTTTTCATGAGTATTTCATGGATTTGCCCAAAACTTAAGGGTTTTCATGGCCCATGAAAACTGAAAGATTAAGCGTTTTTTAATGGCTTTTTTAATGTTTTTTTCATGCTTTTTCCAGGGTGACATGCCACGAAAAATCTTATAACATTTCCCATGAAAATACCATTAAAATCCTTTGAAAATCACGTGAATTGACTATGAATTAATTCACAGGGTTTTCATGGGTTTTTAGTTCACAGTGATAGTTTGTCATGGCTATCATGATCTAAAAACTCATTCCTAGAGCTAAAAACTCATTCCTGTAGCTCCCTCTGGACAAGGTTTGATATCCGTTTGTCCTCTTCTAGTAGCAAACCATAATACCCCATTCTTCCATTGCAGAGGGCATTCCAACGCATCTGAGGATGAAAATATTCAGGAATGGCAGTGAGTCAATGTAAATATTGAAGAAGAAATGGTTTTATTCAGCAAGTTCGGGCTATAAAACTGGATCTCAACTGAACGAGCCAGATTTTGACCCTATCTGTGTTAACCGTCAGACCCTAGAAACTGTGAACAGTGTGAAATCAGTTAGGACTTGGCAGTGATTTAAAGTGGAATATCTATGAGTCCAAATTAGTTAGATTGCTTAAGAAATGGCATGTTGCTACAAGAGAGCCAATTCTATTTTTTATCTTATGCATTCGCTCTATTTTGGAGTACGGCAGCCAATTTTTTTCATCGTGCTCTACCAAGTTATCTAAGCGAAGACGGACGAAAACAATTCAAAGAAGGTACATGCTGTGGACATTCATTTCAGAACGCACGTGTAAAATTAACAATTATTATTTTCACCTGGTGTAGTACTTGGCAATCCGTTGCCACAGTAACGTTAGTTACACAGAGGAGGCGTTTTAGTTTGTAAACTAAGAATTGCCCGCAGTTACGAACGGAGATGTTAAGTGAACAAGAACAGCACTCACGTCCGTACTGGCCGCGGCTGTTACTGAAACAGAAATTGCCGTATTTTTGAAAACAGATCTCCTCCTTCAATCTAATGCCATCGTCTTCGCCATTGTTGTGCTGGGTGGCTATTTATTTCGTTTGTTCGGTAGGTTTTGTTTTGTTTTGTTTTTTGGCCAGGGACATTCCCTCTTTATTTTCATGGGGCGAGTGTACTTCCCTTGGAACCGCATTAATTGGATTAAAGAAGAGCTGTCCAATGATGGTAAAGATTTTATAATATCATAGGTGTCGAATTACTCCTTATTTTTGGCGCGAAATCTCGGCGTTTATACTACTACATGAGAAATTTCTGCAATTTGATTGGCTTAGAGCAGTGGTATTTCAACTTAATTCGAAATACCCACATGTGAAAATTACAAACCTCTTGTGGGTAGTGGTATAAACAAATAATAGCATAATTTGCACGTTTAATTTTTCAACAAGTACCACTTGTGATATTTCAAAATTGTTTCAAATTTCACTCGCCTAACGGCTTGTGAAATTACGTATATCAATTTCGAAGTATCACTTGTGGTATTTATGCAAAATATCACTACAAATCATGCTATTACCTATACTAATTTGTAATTTCAAATATAAAATTACAAAATTGCCATGGCAACCTTCCGTACGTCTCAGGGTCAAGATGGCGACGAAGGTTTACCATTTCATGAATGAAGATGACAGGGCATTAAAGGAGCTTTAGAAAACCTGAACACACGAAAGAGCGAATCAAGAAAGATTCTAACAGGTATTTTGTCGAAAAATTCTGAAATTAAAGTTCCGAACTTAAGCCAAATTTAAGCTCTAAACGTTTGAGAGAGTAGAGCTTGTCGATCGATACGATCCAGGATAAACAAGACAAACATGTAAAAAAAATCATCGGTGCTACTGTAATTTGTCGCCCATGATATTAATAGGTAATCAAATGGTAAATTAGCCGAAAGGCTCGGGAAATTATTAGAATTTTAATTTTTACAAAACGCGCGTGAAATTGTTCCCTTATTTCACTCGACACCATTTGATTAGTACATATACTGATCCCTTGAGATTTGCCGAAATCAGTTTCTATAAAAGTAAAAGAGCGATATGGAAAAACATAAAAACAGGTTTACGTGACTAAACCAGCGAGACTTTATTTGCAGTTACAGCTTCGGTTAACAAGCGACCTGCGATGTCAAAAACGTCTTAAGTTTGGATTTTGGGTTTTCCTGTGATGTCAATCAAAATCTGAAGAATTGGCGCTTTCTCGCTTTCACATCTTAGCGGATCTCTTAGGAAACAAAAGGTCATGGTTCGCGATTTGCGATTCATGGATTTCGATCCATTTTGTGTTTCTAGGTTCGTTGCTTTTGAGCTTCAGAGTTCGGTCGCGTGTTTTTGAAAAGCAGTAAGTTTTACTTTTATAGCTCTAAGTTTTTTTAGCTTCTTTATACTGAAACATGGTAAGTTTATATTGTTCCTATAGAGCTTCCAAATCCAGAAGAAACACAGATATGGAAGGGTGACTGAAACGAATCGGTACGTTTTCGCTAACATTTACTTTTGCAGCTTCTGCTCATTATTGCCGCCTTTACTGATTTGACAAACACAGTGTACGCTACTAGTAACGGTTTGACTCACGTCGCAGAAAAACCCAAAAATCCTGAAACGTTTTAAACAACGTAAGTCGCCTGTTATCCGAAACAGCTGTAATCTGAACAGAAGACGATGGCGGGAATGCAGACGGTTGAAGAGGAGAAGAGACCGTGTGCTTACGAAATGGTGAAGAAGTAGCAGGCAAATGGTCGACATTTGGAATTGTTGAAATATGCGTTGTTGGGTCCTGGGCAGCTAACGACGAAGATGAATATGGGGAGACTTGGCTTGGCTTGATTACTATAAGAAAAGGAAATATAGTAAACTTTAGTTGTTTGTATGAAAAATTATCATCTTCATCATCATCATCATCATCATAAACTCTTATTAATCGTACTTGGCACATATCAATATGCTGTTCATCAACAACTGAAATGTTAAAATAGTGGAAATTATATCAAGAGCGCTTATTAATCGTATTTGGCTGAAGCATTTTGTGGTCGTCAATGTTGCTCCACCTCCCTTAGCTTTGACATCATCCATATTGTTGGCCCTCGTTTTTTATCATTCTTGACATTTATCATTATACACAAATGCTTGGTCAACGTCTCACTAATTTTAAGGCCTAAACATCCACCCATTTGGCATATTTAAATTATGTAACCTTTTGTTCATGGACTTTGTCGTGTCTTTTCCCGCTGCTTATAATTGAGACAATATGTTTTCTTTGTCTTGGTAGCACTTGACGGTCACAAAATTTTATTTTTTTTAGATTTTGCTCATTTTGTTTTTTGTTTTTTTTTCTAGTTCGTAGTTTGACGCGGTAGCAAAAACATTGTGAATTCTAAAGTATCAAGGAGATGTTTGCTTGTGAGGAGCGGTAAAAGAGCCAAAGAGTATTAAATTACTCAAGAACTGGAAAAAATTGGTGAGCAGTGTAATCTCCTGTGTACCTTTCATCGGTGTGAACCACAGATTCCTCACCTAGTTCAAAGGAATATATCTTCGCCATTTGTACCTAATTACTACGGCTTACTAATCAGCGACACAATTATAACTCCTACCCTTATCACAGATTTCTCCTTGAAATCCTTTAGTACAAGTGCAATTAAATCCTTCGACAGTGTTGGCACAGGTTGCTCCATTTTTGCACGGGTTACTAGCACACCCGCTGACATCTAAAGGGGAAAATGAGGAAGAGTTTCTCAATACGTTACGTTTAGTGTCAGGCACAATCTCTTGTTGGCTAAATTAAGAGCCCACGGTTTTTCAACTACTGCTACCAATTTAATTCGTGAGTATTTGAGAGGAACGTCGCCGCGAAGGGTAGAGATTGAGGGTATTTGTTCTGAATGGGAATGGGTCAAAGCAGGTGTCCCCCAGGGATCTCTTCGTGGCCCATTATTATTTAACATAGACATAACCGACGTGAACTACAGCGCCCCTAATATGGCACTAAGGCTATATGCCAATGACACCATCGGATACAATTCTGATGCTTCGTCCCTAGCTCTAGTTCATGGTCAATGAAATGGAAAAAGTAAGAAGTAAATGTGGGGCAAAGATGTTAAATCCCACATTTGCATACCAAAACATGGGGTTGGGAATTAAATTTCGCATTTACCACCCTTGCACCATCCTTACTCGTCAGCTTTGCCACAATTTTGCAACTTATCTGCCGAGAGAAAATTTGTGCAGATTAATTTTTTCGTCCAGTGGAGGCTTCTGCATATGCCGCTGGGATATGTTCAAAAACGTTAAAAATCCCTGTCATGCATTCAGGAAAACGTTTCTATAGAGTCATATACACTTGATCTCTTTAATACTGACACCTGAAAGTAACTTGGAACGCAGAGGTTGGGTAACCCTTTGAGAATTGGGTTAGAATGGCTTTTGTAATAATCGTATAATTTTATACTTCGGCCTCTAGTCAATACTGATACCATTGTAAATAATTATAAATTCTATTTCAATAACTGCAATACGTGCTTGTTTTGATTTATAGTGTCCCCATTTAGTGGTTCCTCTACTGCTATGCTAGTTTGTCACCTAAATAAAGGAATTGATTGATTGATTGATTGATTGATTGATTGTGTATCAGTTTTCATATCGCCGGCAAATTATAAGACAAATTATTTTTCAAAATGAAAAAAAAATAGATAAAAATAAATAAATAATGAAAATAGACCTATAAATTAATCTATATTTTCATGACAATTAACTACCAGCCCATGCACTAACTAGCCCCAGTTTATTAAGAGGTGGCATGGATAAGACAGATAACATTATCCACTGGATGAACCTATATCCAGTGGACTGGCGCAATTGGTTTTCCCAATACTTATTCGCTGGAAAGTGATTTATCAGATGGATAGCGCTATCCACCTTTTGAACAACCGGGGCCAACTATAAAGAGAGCAGAAACTATCAGCAAAAAATGTTTAAACGGGTTTTAAACTTTAAAAGTTTTAAAGGTTTAAGAATACCCAAATGTTCTTTGCCTAAACCGAGCCAATGCTCAACGCCATGTTCTTTCCAGGAAAGGTTAGTTTCATCTAAGTTCAGTAATGGACCTAGGCAAACGCGTGAGAAATTACAGTGTTTGTATGAGAATCTAATGTCGAATAACTTCCGTAGAACGGTTGTTCTGAAAAACACATGAATTGTGAACTAAAACTTCACTCCAGAGGATTCTACTTAAAAAAATTGAAGGCGTTACATGCGCTAGAAGACCTAGAACCACTTTTTTTTTAGAAAACCCGTTTTACGGAAATTATTCGACATTAGACTCTCATACAAAGATGCTACAAACAATGTAATTTCTCACAAGTTTGTCTACTCGTCAAGATGGCGTCGAAAACCGTGACAGGGTCTATTAAGCCTGGTTTTCTTATGTCGGGAAAATCCCAGACGATCGGGGATTTTACTCTTTCCCGACTGTCCCAGATTTCTGTGCTGACTAATGAAAACTCGAAATCGTAGATATCTCCGATCGTCTGGGATAGACGGGGACAAATCTGGATAATCGGGACCGTTTCTATTTTCTCAACGCGTCCCAGATTTCTGCGATGGTCGGCGATCATTCCCAACAAATTAAAACTCAAATTTGTACCGTCGGGGACGTCGGCGATGGATATGGCTCTACATTTGTTTACATGATACCACCACAAAATGCCGTGCCAGCGTGAGTTCACCCCTGTTGCTGTACCGGGGCGAGAATCTCACTCTGGTACGAAAGCTCTCAACGGTATCACGTAAACGCGAAACGACCACACGTTTCGGTGTGAAATCAGTCTGCCCGTAGACTGGAACGGGTAGCGCATGCGTCAGGTATCCGATTTTGAATCACACATGTATTTTATTAACATGAAGTGTACCTTCACATAACGAGATATGAAATGACCCAGACATCATGCAAACGTGAAACGAGATCAAAAAGTCATCCCAGTAAGAAACTCGCGCCGGTGCGAGTTTTCTCATGTAGACACTCCCTAAATTGTTGGGCTCCAGTCTCCCTATCATACATTTGTGTACAAGTTTCAATTTTGGCGCACTTTCCATTTCCCGCCAAATTCAATATCGGGAGAATCTGGGACAGACTTCTGGCATTTATCTCATATATCGGCAAAATCTGTTACGGTCGGCAAAAAGTAAAATCCCTGATCATCAGTGATTTTTCCGACATATGAAAACGAGGCTTTAAAGTCAAGATACGTATCACTTTGTTTTAAGCTAAGTAAAAAAGGTTGTTAAGTCAAAAATGTTTAATCCGTTATTTTAAGCTTCTTGAGTGAAGGACCGCTCTCAGGCAAAAAGTCAAATAATTAGTCTAGTGTGAGCAACGAATAAAAACAGACTTGTGGACTGATTCTTGATGTTCAACAACTCGCCCTGGCTGCATTGTAAATTTCAGGCGAGCATGATGAATATTAATTTTGTTTTCTGGTGTTTGTGTGACGCGTTTGTGTGCAGAGTAGAAATTACTCATTCAAATTTGCATTATATTCTCAACATCTTTGTCAAATGGAGAGTAAAAAATGCAGACTGCAGACTAACTGGAGACCATTGTTTTCAGGGTTAGAAAACAATGGGACTATTTCTGTCTTGTTTTCAGTTGCATGGTGAAAACAATGGTCTGCAACAGTCTGCAGTCTGCATTTTATACTGACTGTCCTTTAAATATCAAATTTTGCCTAGTGAGAAATTTTCCGTTAGCCTAAAGTTTGAGACATCCTTAGCCCAGTTCAAACGTCGAATTTCACGCGTGCCGAACTTAATTCCTATTTTACTCGACTAAAATAGTTAGATACGGCATTTGATTCAAACGTGTACTCTGTCGAATTTAACTCTGTTTGCTGTCAATATTCCCAGCAATATAATAATAATTTTCTAAAATTCATACATTAAGTTCGACACATGTGAAATGCGACGTTTGAATCAAAAGTCGAACCTAAGTCGAGTCTTCGACTGTTTCAGTCACAGATACGGCAAACGTTGCATTTAATTTAAACAGTCCAATTTAATTGATTCAAAAGTTTCACTTCACAAGCATTTTACTCTCGAGTTAAATTCGGCACATGTGAAATTCGACGTTTGAACCGCGCCTTACTCTGTGACATCTTCCTGAACATCAGTGTCTTATCAAATGAAACTCTATTGTCTAATCTAGAACGCACTCTATCATCTACGATTACTACTAGATAAATATTATGTACAGCTTTGGTGAGTTTTATGGAAAGTGCATCTTTCTTACCCTCCTGCTTCTGTGCTTGTATCGTAAAACACGGGGTGAGAATGACTAACAACACACAAGTATATACTATCTCCATTTCTGAAAAATCGAACCAACTGACTCCTGAAAGCAATTCTATTCCTGGTTTGCAACCAAGTGACAAGGCGGTCACGTTGGCGGTCAATTTAAAAGACTTTTTCCCGAAGAATTTACATGAAAATAGAGTCTAATTCCCAAAGGAGAGAAATAATTTTGTTCTTGACCACCAACACGGCCGCTGTGACGTCACGTGCAAACTAGCAGACGGACCAAGCTGCGTTGACCTACGTAAGTGTTTGCGTTAATTAGCGTTACGTTATTTGGAACGCCACCGTGAGATCATGAGAATTTGAAAGAGATAAACAACGGTTGTATTTTAACAGTTAAAGAATTCAAATGTTTACCAAACCAAACTGAAAAAAACGCTTTCCCCTTATATATACTGCTGTAATGCTCAAAATTTGTAGAGATATTTGAGAAACCTGTCGTGAGAGAACTCACTCCATGAGCCTTCAGAGGAAGTAGGAGATTGGAATTTGGTAGTACGTGATGCGGAATATGAAGGGGAACGGAAATCAGCACTTATGAAGCATGGCGAGGGAACAAACTTTCAAGGCAAAACAAATAAACGATTTTTTAGATGTTATATATATAAGAAGTTTTTTAACATATTAGCAAATGTGGCGATAAAAGTTGTGGATAAGAAAAGATATTTAGACTTACTTTTCAAGTTCTAAAAATTACGCGGGTCAGCACTACGTAGCTCTTGAATCCAATCCAGCGGTTTCCTACCTGAAATTTCAGGCAGTGGATTTGTTTTAGCTGCAAGAACTTGCCGAAAGATATTTGAATTTGGGCGACTTTGTGTGATATTCGTGGAAACGTCTGTTTCTAGGAATCAACGCAACTGGTTCGGTTAAAGGAAGTGAGATGTAAACTAAAACACCACGTCATGTTACAAAAACTATATAATAGATCAGTGTTTTTTATTTTTCGTTTTATTGTTTTGTTTTGTTTTTTTCTTTCTCCTTTATCCTTATGCCGTCACTGATTACAATTCTACATTCGAAGAGGGTACCAATATCCAGAGGTATAAGTGAGGGTTTAATTAAGGAAAAAACACCTGACGGGGAATGACGTAAATAAATAAATAAAATAAATAGGCATGCTAGTATTTATATGCCGAAGCGGTAACGTTTAAACGCCGTTTACGTATAGTTAAAGGGCTTGATAAATATTTGGGTATAATGATTGATTCTGCACTATCATAGAAGCATCATAATGACTTTGTCTGTGACAAAATTAGTAGATCGGTTGGAATAATTGCTAAAATGAGGCATTGCATTCCATGGCATCTTCTTTTGAATTTATACCTTGCACTTATTTTTCCTTATTTAAATTATGGTATCTGTGTTCACAGACCTACCTCAATAAGATACTTGTCACCACGCAATATCTTTTTTATTGAATCAAACTGCTTTCCTTTGCAGTCTTTGTTCTTTCAACAGGAATAAAATTCTTTTTTTCCCCGTTTGACACTCTCTTGGTCCCTTCCTGTTGCAAGGATTATTTTCTTGAAAAGGTGTTATGCATGTAACACTTTATGAGGTTTCGGGGGAGAGTCAGTTCTCAGATTCAGCTGGTGGCTTTACGACTTTGCGAACCTGCTATGTAAAAGTGTGAAGTGTCATGAGGGATCTTTTTTAAAGAATAAAATCAGCTTTGCAGAGGAAGCGATCGGTAATATTACTAAGTCTTGGAAATCACATATTGATTTCGTCTCAAGAAAGATTTCGAAAAGTGTGGGAATTATTGCGAAAGCCCGCTTTTACCTATCATCCCAAACTTTGATGACCTTGTATTACTCCCATGTATATCCTTTCTTAACATACTGTAATGTCGCCTGGTCCTCCACCTACTGTTCCAGCCTAAACTGTATTTACCTTTTGCAAAAGTGTCTAGTGCGGCTCATAACAAAAGCTCACTATCTAGGAAATACCGCCCCTTTATTTAGCCAGCTTGATTTAGTCCTTGACATATTTAGTAGTATTAATTGATTTTCTGTCGCTACCTTTATGTATTCTTAGCACCATAATCTTTTGCCTAGTAGCTTTCGTGACTCGTTTTTAAGTAGTAATCAAGTCCATCAATACGAAACTCGACTAGCCTCTTGGTATAGACCTCATTTTTGTAGAACAAATATAAAGCAATTGAGTATCCTTTACCGAGGACCTAATATCTGGAATTCGTTGCCTGTTTCACTAATTAGCTCTCCTTCTATATTTCTTTTCTTAAAAAAATTTAAAGAATTATCTCACTGATAGCCGATCTGTCGTAAATTTTCTGATCTTGCTCGCTCTGCACTCAGCCATGAATTTAGTTCACTAGGTAGTTGAAGGAAGCCTATTAATATAAGCTTCAAGCTTCGTTGGGCTTCCTCGTCACATTAATTTTGTAATTTAATGAACACCTTTTGTTCATGTTGTATAAGGTTTTGTGAGTGACTAAAATAAATAAATAAGTAAAAATAAATTAATAAGTCCAGCTACAAATCTACTGTCGGTTCGGTTTCACATTGTAGATTTTCTTTCAAATTTCCTGAGGCTTTTTGTTACCCGATTGAAACTTCGAATGATTCGCTGCGCTATTTAAAATGTTTCCTAGGACATGTGATGTACGGCACGTCGGTATCTTAAAGGGACTCGTTCACGATAATGCGCTTGTGTGAGTTCTGACTGTAGCTGATTGTTTTTCAACCAATCAGAAGCGAGTTAGATGCACGCAAGTAAATTTACAAAATTCAAATTAATTGTTCGCGACGCGAGAGTATTTCCGGGCATTTGGTTTGATTTTATTTATCCCCATAATTCAAGTTTATTCTTTGCTACTCCTCAGATATATGTTGCAGCCGATAAGAATGAAATTTACAGCCCTGTCTTGCTTTGAAACAAACATTTATCAACGTGTATTTTTACGAGGTCGTACCCACGCTAACAAAACAGTCACCGATCGGCAGACAAAATTTGTAAACAAACATCTTATTACTGTTCTCTCAGTTCGCCTTATATAAACCCAGAAATACCTACAAATAGCGCCTGACCGGTGATAAAAACACACAACGTATGAGTATAAAGATTATCCTTAAAGGGACTGCTTCACGATAATGCGCATGCGCGCCGTTTGTCTCTTCAGAATAAATTTGTCGGGTCAACACTAAATTCGAAATCGCCATTACCAGTACAATCATTGAAAATCCTTCGTTTTATTCGGACATCCGTCGCTTTGGCTGGTCTAGTTATACTTCGGTATTGGTGATTAGCGTGTGGTTGTGTCGTTTGACTGGTTACGTTTGAAGAAGACGCAAAAAATAATGTTTTGATCATCGAGGTTCAGAAGAGCATCGTGGCTGTCCGGCAACAGGACGTTCTCAAGAGTCTCTGGAGATAGAGAAGCTTAGCCTATCGATCTGGTATGGTTCTAGGAGTAGTGTGTGGCATACGAAAAGAATACACGACACTTGGAAAGTGGTTAAAGGCGTGAGTTCGTTCAACTTTGATTTGATTTTTGACTCCGACCTGTAGTTACACCGCAACAGGCCGCGCGATCTTCATCTATCTGGTACACTTGAAATGTTCCTCGTATCTTTGCTTTACGATCGTATATGTTTAAGAATTGATGTTTTTAAAATAAATTATTGCCTGAATATTCTGTTTATAATCTAGTTTCTTTATATGTGCTACTCGATAACATTTGTAATTTTTTGCGGAACACTGACCCGATGCAACGCGAATGAATTTGTTCATTTGCTGATAAGCAATTGAAATTTATGCTCAATTAAGGATAATCTTTATACCCATAGGCTGTGTATTTTTGTCACCGGTCAGGCGCTATTTGTAGGTATTTCTGGGTTTATATAAGGCGAACTGAGAGAACAGTAATAAGATGTTTGTTTACAAATTTTGTTTGCCGATCGGTGACTGTTTTGTTAGCGTGGGTACGACCTCGTAATAATACACGTTGGTAAATGTTTGTTTCAAAGCAGGACAGGGCTGTAAATCTTATTCTTATCGGCTGCAACATATATCTGAGGAGTAGCAAAGAATAAACTTGAATTATGGGGATAAATAAAATCAAACCAAATGCCCGGAAAAGTAGTGATAGTGGACACTGGGGCACTCAAAGGATGCCGCGGCTTTGACTGACAGGCTATTGTTTCAAGGCTATTGTTCTCAGTGGTTAATTAAAAATTTAAGATGGCGCCCAGAACGTTCTAAGACGTTTTTGTGTTAGAAGAAAACGGGGGTATAAATTTTTTTTTTTTTTTTTATCGACTCTACCAGGACTTGAACTTGGAATCTCCTGACCCGTAGTCAGGCGCCTTATCCATTCCGCCATAGAGTCTCTATGAAAGAAAAAACAGAGCATAGCGAGGTATTGATCCCCGTACCTTCGGGTTATGAGCCCGATGCGATAACCATTTCGCTACCATGCCGCGACAAGCGAATCCAAGACAAATAAAGATCTAAAAGTAATTTATTACAGTGTTTTCAGAGATCCATCCATTCGGCCATAGAGTCTTTCTTAAAGACTTTCTAAAGACTGCTTTCTTCTCAGCGTCTCTCTTTTGTCTTTTCATGGATTTTCTTTTGAGCCTTTCAATAGTCTCTTGTAGTGTGAGAATCTGTGTTTCTTTAAAATTAATAACATCCTTGAGATGTTTTAATTCTGCTTGACAGCCAAGTTCCTTAATTGTTGACATCTTTAAAGTGAAAGTTCCTAGAACGTGTGTATAGTTTTATAAGAAACGCGTTCCAGTGAATGGTTTCGTATGCTACTGCATGTTTGCTTCAAATTTGCATGAAAACTCGTCGAGTCAGCTAATTTTAATTCTTAGAAAAAAGAAGACCTGAAAGAGAGAATCGAACCCGTAAGCTTAAACTCATTGAAAAGTTACCTGGCGTCAGTACTAAGGCTTTGCGCTAAGCCCGTTCCCGACGGAAGTTTACTACAAAATAAACTAGTCTTTCTTATTATTGGTCATTGACTTTTATTCATGTGGTGGTTCTTAAAAGAACCGTTTTGTCATAAGACAATTAGTAGGATCTGTTCTTCCTACTCAGAAATTTACTATGGTAGGCGAAGTTAAATGGGTAGGCTGAGATTATTTGCCATTTTTCGCCTGGTACTTTCTCAGAATAATACACAGCGAGGTGTTTGGCAGGAAAGCCATCCGGATCTGCACCAATTTGCCGGTTTAGTTTAAACACGAACAAATAGAAGTGCCCATGATATTCGTTCCATCCCTCGTGTATGACGGACACGTCTTCGCTGTCTTCTTCTCAGGTGAGTTCGGAGACAGTCTTTAACAAATCGACTAAATCAATTTGTGACTCAAACTTCGACGCTCTCACATGTTCATGTTTTAAAACATGCCTCTCGTTAATATGGTCTGCTTGTTCTTGCGTTAGGAAAGTTCCCTCGGTTTCAAAAGGCGAAGCCATGGTTGAAAATAAATTTTTTTCTGGTTCATCTTAAAACAGATTGCAAAACAAACGAGTCCTACTTGAAAAAGAGCGAAAAGGGTTATTGTTTCTGCCGCCTTAAAAGAGCAGCGAACTTTTTTGCCGCTAAGGTTTAAAAACTTAAAAGAACGGCGAAAAGTTAATTGGTTTTTGCCGCTTCACATTTGTTGTCTCCGCGCCAATGTGCGTGAATCTCACATGAATAGCATAAAGGAAGAGTGAATTTGGAAAAGTCATTTTGCTCTGCTCATCCCAGTGTCAAGATATCCGTTGCACAAAATGAAGACTTTGTATCAGCTCGCCTTGGAAGCAGTCCCTAACAAGGGTTTAATGGCCGATACGTTTCTCGTGCCTTGTCATCCGATCGCCAAAGAACTTCAAGCCCAGCAGTACATCGAAGACAGAAATAAGTATAGAGAACAACACCGCGTCAATTTCAGGTTTGTCTACGCAGATTTGTGTTTTATCCAAGCCTTCTTTTCAAACTCAAACTTTTAACCGAGCGATGTTACGTTTTTAAATCGATTGTGGAAACAAATCGACGATTTACTTTAGCTCATGTTCCGTTTTAGGCCTATTCTGAAATCCCTGTTTTGGATTAGAGATTGCACATGGTTAAGTGTGAAGACCAACTGTTGTATGATTGAACTGTAAAAACGTGTTTTTAAACGCGCTTGTTGATGTTTTATTTTAGAAATTGTTTGAATCAGTTGAAACAGCGAAGATGGGCCATGTATTGTCATAAAACAGAATGGATTCCCGTGAATGCAAAGATTCCTATGTGTTCCCAATGTAAAAGAATTAGGACAACGCAGTTAACATTAGACGGTTTACGTTTGCAAAGGCAAAAGAAATTTGTTGATAAAAATGAAGAGGCTCGCTTAATTCGCCGTTTTTACTATACGCCAATTCGTAGACGCTTAGAATTTATGTACGGTTTTGCTTCTCTTTAGCAAATGTTTGCGACAAATCAAGAAGCGTCATTTTTGTAGATCGACCCAATGGCTTTCGTTTCATGAAGGAGTCTGTTCACAGTGTCTCAGAATTGGAGTTGATTGTTTGACTGTGACGGGTCAAATGAGATATGACCGTTACGAAAGAGTTAATTTTGAAATGGAACGGCGCAAAATCTTTAAGCTATATAGGGGTACAGGAATTTTAAGAAGACGTCAGGCACTTGAACACAACGTAATCCAATCTTTGGGTCTTTTTTAGAAAAGTGATGCAAGATATCCGTTTTTCGCCGCTAAATCCTTTTACAGAGTGGATCGAAATCAATAGGCAGACCACTGATTTTCGTATTACAATTTTAAATGTAACGATCGATGATGTAAAGCTTGTGGACAATCCTTTTTTTCCTGCTATTGAAACAATGATTGAACGTTTTGAGCGAACCTACGCACACTTAAAGTTAGAATTTCCCTGGTTCTTTCGAGATTATCAAGTTAACTTTGTTGGACCAGATTCATTAGGGATCTGATATGTTCCAGTTTGTAAATAAGAAAAAAGTGCTTTGAAAAGGAGTTAGCCGACTTGCGGTTGAATACGTTCCTCTCATTGCATTTACTAAGAAAGTGATTGTACCGTTTTACCGAAGGAAGGTAAAATGTAAATAAAGTTAAATTTGCGTGTAATTTACTTGTGTCTTTGGGAAAAAAGAAATGAACTGAGATTGTCAAATGAACGCTCAGGCAGGGAGGGGTTTTCTTAGAACTGAATGAACTGAGATTGTCAAATGAACGCTCAGGGAAAAAAAGAACAAAGATTATAGCTGAATCAGCCAAAAAATTAATTAGAAAAAGAACAAAGATTCATTAAAGAGGGGTCAGTTAAAAAATTAATTAGAAAAAGAACAAAGATTCATTATAGAGTGGTAAAAAATTAATTAGAAAAAGAACAAAAGTAGCTGACTCAGTCAAAATAAGTTATTAGGTAGCCTTGGGCAGCCTTGAACGTTCTTTGTCCATTATGACTTAATGAAATTCGAAGCACGCGCTCCACAGCTAATTTAACTAAACTGCGTCTCTGTAAGCGTCATTCAGTTTTTACTGTCTTACTGAGCGGAGCTTTTTGCGAAACGTTTTGAAAACGATGGATCCATACATTCGCGCGCTTATCGAGGATGGACTCGATTCCTTGTTGGAAGAAATTCCACACTGGACCGCTAGTCAAGGGGAAGAGTTAATAGACTCGGAGGATGAAAGTGACCTGCTAATCGCGGCGCGCCGAGCAGACCAGCAAGGAGGGAATCCCTTGTTTGCTGTCAACATGGAACGAGTGAGAGCACCGCGCTCTTTTCACCGCGGTGTGGCGATTCAGATGCAAGTCCGATTTTCGCTGGAACAGTTACGTCCGCCGAATGGGGAATACCAAGGTGAAGCGGTGGCTGAAGCCTTTCATCAAGGATTGATTAATTTTATCCGCGATCCTCGCAATGGAATTGTCAATCCTGACGAGTATTTCATATCCATGGCGATTCACCATAGTACAGGGACCCACACGTGGACCAGCTGTCCGAGAGTTCCACTGAGTGAGTGGATTCAGGGATCGCCACTGACGCGGCAATGGTTAGAAAGACTGGCGAAACAACTGAACTCGGCAGAAAGTTTCGATGCCTCCAGCGGGGATTTTTACGCCGAACTGTCTTTTTTTAAGAGGCAGCAACGTGGCAGAAGACCAGCTAAAAACAAGCCTGGTAACAAGTCGTTTGAGCAGATACTAAACAAGAAATCTGTCATCACGATTAAGAACAAAGACGAACTGTATTTCGCGCGTGCCTTGGTTTCCGTTAGAGCCTTTGTCGACCAAGACCCTGAGTATAAAAATATTTCTCAAGGACGAGGACTGCAGGGTCATCTTGCCTACAAACTGCATCAAGAAACTGGGGATCCTGAGGGAATGTGCGGGTTACCCGAAATTCAGCGAATGCAAGCCCATCTTGGCCCTGAAGGCTACCAAATTAAAATCTATGAAGGAGTCTGCGGGGCGTTATGGTATTGCGACGCGTCATTTGATTCAGCCCCTAAAAAACTGTGTCTGCTTAAAGTGGAACAGCATTTTCACGGATTACGAAGTGTGCCAGCCCTCCTAAACAAAGGGTATTACTGTCACCAATGTAACAAAGGTTACAACCAAGAAGATGCAGAGCATCATAATTGTTCTCATCAAAACTGTAACAAGTGTCGAAGAAAAAACGGAAAATGCCCTGATTTTCAAGAAAGAAAGCCTGCTCTTGTCTTCTGCAATGAATGTGGTCAGTCGTTTTACGGACAAAACTGTTTCAACGCTCACAAAGAACCTAAAGGAAAGAAAAAAGTGAGCTTGTGCCAAACACTCAAAAAGTGTCCGGAGTGCTGTAAAGTTTACAAGTACTCGAAGAAAAAGAAGCATGTATGCGGAGAATACCGATGTCCTAACTGCCGAGAGAAAGTTTTGCCGAACCATCAGTGTTACATTCAGCCTCTTAAAATGGAATTCAGCAACCTTCTTGACCAAGCCGCCGATTTTAACGAGGAAGACCGTGCGATTCTGGAAGACATGGTTGAAGCGGAAGCCGCGGAAAAAGGTCAGGAAGAAGAGGACGAAGAACCGCCCCCGCTGGTGTGTTGTATTGATTTTGAATGTGGTTTAGATGAGAATAAGGATTTTGAGGATGTTCGTGTGGGCTGGCAATATGTGAATGTGGAAGGGAGCTACCGCGAAGCAGGCAAGGCATCGGATATGTTGGAGGATGTGATGGCGAAAACGGTGACGGCTGAAATGAAAGAACGGAAGGTGTTTGTGTTTGCTCACAATATGTGAGGGTTTGATTCGTCTTTTATTTTGCAGTTGTTGTATGATAAGGGTTACAAAGTCGAAAAGGTCTTGAGTATGGGGGCGAAATTTTTGTCGTTTCAGTGCGGTAATGTGATTTTTCGGGATTCTCTTAATTTTTTTAACATGCCTTTGGAACGCTTGCCGGCCACGTTTAATTTGAAGGAAGCGCATAAGGGTTTCTTCCCTTATTCTTACATTTCTGAAGACAAGATTAATTACACTGGACCCTACCCAAAAGCAGAAGAATACCATCCCGAACGAATGAACGAAAAACGGAGAAAGGAATTTTTAACTTGGCACAAAGAAAAAGTTAACAGCGGCGCCATCTTTGATTGCCAAAAAGAACTATCTGCGTACCTGAAAAGCGATGTCCAAGCGCTAACGGAATCCATGGAAACATTTGCCACTGAAATGTTAGAGCTGACTGGCATAGACCCTACGGTGGAATGTGTCACCATTGCAAGTACGGCGTTTAAAGTTTTCCAGACCAAGTTTTTGGAGCCGTACACGATTTCCTTGGAACCTCTCGGCGGATGGCGCCACAACCAGCAGAACCAGAGTGTGGAGGCCCTGCAGTGGCTAGAATTTGAAAATGCCAAGATTGGTGGTGGTATTCAGGTAACTATTAAGAATTTTAGAATTTAAGATGCAGTCAAAGTCTACACTTAAGAAAAATTAGTTGCAGTGTTTTACTGCAAATTTCAATTTGTGAAATGTTTTCGACTGTGCAAACACATTTGCACCCTACAAATCAAAAATTAGAAGGAAATGTATGGGAAATATACCTAAGAAGTCTGCAGATTTTAAAATACACTTGCAGTGTTTTTCTGCAAATTTCAGTTATCGAAATGATTTATACTGTGCAAACGCAAATGCACGATCGAAATCAAAAATTATAATCTGCGGACCGCGCAGGAAACAATAACATTATGTTTCTCTTTTGCAGCATGTACCAAATTCATTGAATGGGGAAGCCAAAGTCATCACCCCAGCCCAATCTTACAACGTGGATGGCTATCACGCTGCCAGCAATACGGTCTACGAGTACCAGGGTTGCATCTTTCACGGCTGCAGACTTTGTTATCCAAAGCAAGGACACATGAAGCGTTTCTGCCATCCAGATCGAACCGTGGACGAAGTCTATGAGGCAACCCTCAAGAAAACGGCCATCCTCCGTGACGCAGGGTACAACGTGGTTGAAATGTGGGGGTGTGACTGGACCAAACAGAAAGAAACCGATCCCGAGCTCGCAGAATTCCTTAAAAACTTCGAATTTGTCCCACCGCTTGAGCCGCGAGACACGTTCTTTGGGGGTCAAACGGGCGCTGCGACCCTGTACGCCAAAACAGCAGGAGACGAAGAGATTTCCTATGTGGATTTTACAAGCTTGTATCCGAGTATTAACAAGTACGGTGTCTACCCTGTGGGATTGCCGCGAATTATCTATCGTCCAGAAAACCAGAACATTAACGGTTATTTTGGTCTCGCGCAAGTCAATATCCTGCCTCCTGAACGCTTGTTCCAGCCCGTTCTACCTGTCAGGGCGGGGGGAAAACTTACTTTTCCTCTTTGCAGGTCCTGTGTTGCAGAAGAGATAGCGAATCCCCTGCTAGAACGAAGCAATATGTGTGGTCACACACGCAAACAGCGCATGTTGAAAGGGACTTGGTGTACTCCGGAACTACAGAAAGCGGTGGAGAAGGGGTACCAAATCCTAAAAATTCATGAGGTCTGGCACTTTGCCGAAGAAAATAGACGCGAAGGCCTTTTCGCAGGGTAAGTGAATACCTGGTTGAAGCTGAAACAAGAGAGCGCCGGATGGCCTGCAGGTGTGGAAACCCCAGAGCAGAAAGCAGAGTACGTAAAGCAATATGAAGAACACGAGGGGATTAAGCTGGATCCTGAAAAGATTGCTGTGAATCCAGGCAGAAAAAGCATTGCGAAATTACTTTTGAACAGGTAACTAATCTTTTTTCACACTTAAGAAATTTAGTTGCAGTCAAAGTGCGCATTTTAAAAATTTAACTTGCCGTGTTTTACTGCAAATTTTAATCCGTGACATGTTTACTACTGTGCAAACACAATTGCACGCTACAAATCAAAAATTAGAAGGAAATGTATGGGAAATATGCCTAAAAAGTCTGCAGATTTTAAACTTACATTGCAGTGTTTTTCTGCAAATTTCAGTTATCGAAATGATTTATACTGTGCAAACGCAAATGCACGATCGAAATCAAAAATTATAATCTGCGGACCGCGCAGGAAACAATAACAAACTTATAATTTTTCTTTCTTTTTCAGTTTATGGGGAAAATTTGGTGAGCGACAGAACAAACCAGTGACTCACTGTATCACCCAACCCTCACATTTTTTCCAGCTGTTAGAAGACCCGGTGAATGAGATTCACAGTGTACTTATCTGCTCTGAAGATGTCATGGAGTTAGTGGTGACCAAAGCGGAAGACGAATACCAGCGTTCGTTCAAGCAAAACGTGTTCATCGCGGCCTTCACGACTTCGCTGGATCGCCTAAAGCTCTATGATGCCCTTGACTTTTTGGGTGATCGAGTCTTGTATTACGATACAGACTCGGTCATTTATAAAACCAAGCGGGGTCAAGACAAGCTACCGCTGGGTTCGGTTTTGGGGGAATTCACAGACGAGATTGACGGAGACGTGATCGTGGAATTTTGCAGTGGCGGGGCGAAAAACTACGGGTACCTGACCAAGAAAGGTAAAGTCGAATGTAAAGTACGTGGGTTTTCGCTGAATTATGAGACGAAACAAGTCTTGAATTACCAGACCATGAAAGAAAACATTCTGAAGGAATTGGACGAGCCCTTGGAAAAAGCGCGCCGAATGGCTATTACAATTCCCGATTTTTTCCAAAGGGATCAAGTCACCAAAAAATCAAGCTTACGGAACGTAAAAAACATTATCAACTGGTGTTTGATAAGCGTGTGATTGACCCTGCCACTCGTTCTTCCACACCGTACGGATAAAACTGGTTCGGTGCCGAAGTGGAACTTTTAATGGACTTGTAAATAGTGCGGGCACGGTTAGCTTGGTAGCGCCAACCCGCTTTAGCTTTTGTATACGGTTTTTATAGGGGTACAGTAGCTTGGAAGCGCGAACCCCTTGCATGCTTTGTTTTGAAATTAAATTAGGGTTTGTAACATTTCATCGAAGGGAGGTGAAATGACGAATAAACTAAGTTCGCGACACAATTGAATGGTGTGGTTTCTGTTTTTGTATAAATAGAGGGCGGTATGGTTAGTCAAATTACTTTTCGTAAGATGTCGAACATTTATTTGACCCTCGTAAGCGATGTCACCAAAAAATACACAAGTAATGTGGCCAATCAGTTTAAAGTCAAACCTCAGTTAAGATTACCCGGGGAAGGATGGAAAGTGTCAGTGGCTGGAGTTATTTTACCAAAAATGCCTTTGTTCAAAGAATTACAAAGTGCGAACGTAAATTTAATCGAATTATGGGGTGAAACTGAAAAAGCAGGACAATCCGATGCGTGGTAAAAGGGTTATGTGAAAGCAACAGATTTACGTGAATGGGAGAAAGCAGAAACATGTCATACAGGGGAAGAATTTTTCAATACTGTAAAACATAGACTAGAAGAAACAGCGCATGCTAGTTTGGATGACGGATTTAAGTTTAGTTTAGCGCGTTGGATTAACTTATCCTGGGACAAAAAAGGAGTGCATCCGGAACTGGTCTTAACAAACACTACAACAAGTAATTTAATTTATATTTACAAACCGTTCGCCAAATCTTTGCGCTGGATAAATCCTAAGACAAATCAACATGATAGCATGGGACCAAATTTGGTACATAGCTACCCCAAACACACTAAAGGAGCCAGTTCCTTGGAGACGGGAAAACCCACCCAAATACTTGGCAATTGGCTTCATTTAAGTACTCTCTCCGATTGGCGTTTTATTAACCTCAATCAATGTTTTAAAGATGCCTTAAATCTTCACCCCCGCCCGCTTACCGTGACCGCCAACGTGACTGCCAAGAAAGAAACCGTCACGCAGTCACTGGGTCAAGTGTACTACGCGCCTCAAGGAAGACAACGCTATGCGTTTACTCCCGTTCAAGAAACCTTTCAAGAGGTACAAGACAATCATTGGGAAGAAGTAGAAACTACCCTGAAAGAATTGGATGGGACACTAGTTCAATTTCAATCGGATAGTCAGTGCGTGATTCGACTGCATTTTAAGAAAGAATAAGACACAATTCAATTGTAACAACAAATTTTTATTAAGTGAATAAAAAAACAAACAGAATTACAGCTTAAGTTTGCGTTTTGTCTGCATAATGGCTTTGACGATCCGTTCTTGTTTGGTTTTCTTCCCTGGGAGGCTTTTAATAGCGCGTATCATTTTATCGTCCGCTTTCCACTTGTCCTTTAAACTTTTCGCTTTGGAATAATCGATGTCATGGATTTTCGCTAATTCGTCTAATCTATTGACGCCTCGGTCACCCCTCTTCAGTCTTTGTTGAAGCCGGGTCCCTGGACCAAGGTAATTTGCTTTAGGCCAATGAAACTCTTTGCCTGTTTTTTTCAATTAATTTTTGAATATCCAACGCAGCCCCACGCTGACCACCCTTTTTTCCTTTTTGCGGTCTTTTTCTGCGAACCTTTCTTTTACCAGTCTTTGCCATGTAATCTTCTTTTCGCTGGTGTCCCAAACGGTTTCCAGCCTGAGCCGGGGCGAGTTTCTTTAAAGCTCTTTCTTTAGCCCTTTCAGCAGCTCTTTTTGATGCCTCGGCAAATTTTTTTTCAATACTCTCCCGAGCTCTTTGAAAAGGGGATTTAGCAGCAACGCCTTCTTCTTCCGCTATACTAGAAACACTGGAAAGAGGGGAAGGAGGGGAAGGAGTCTTTTTCTGTTTAGGAGTCTTGTATCCAGAGGAAGGCGTCTTTTTCGGGGTTTTGGATAACAGCCGCTTTGCCTTGGATCCGGTCTTAAACGTTAACTTGGGTTTTTTACTCGTAGAAGGACTTTGTTTGACCACAGGCGTTTGTAACGCTGACTGAGGGGTGACCGGTTCTGTTTTCCTTTTTATAGCCTTACTGATTTTTGAAATGTTTCCCATAAAATGTTGTAACGGGCCTACGGCTAAATTTTCATCATCACTGTCGTCTTCATCGCGACTTATTCCTTGTGTTCCTCCTGGTTGACGAATTTTCTTGACCCATTGTTGTAATTCTCGGTTGACTGATTTTAAACGTGGTTCTTTCCATGTATCCGGGGCAGGACTCTCCAACAAAAGTTCTTTTTGAGCGGCTAAACCTGCTGCTTTGGTTAAACGGCTATCGTCTAAAAGATTAGGTTTATATTTATCTCGCAAACGTAAAAATTGCACTGGGTTTTCAATCGGTGTGGAGGAAATACCGCCATGCTTGCGAATGAAAATAAGAGTTAAGCCTTGTCTTGTTATATAGGTTTGTATCTCTCTTTGACTTTTTGTCGAAACTCTTTGATCATTTGTGCTAGTAGAAGCAAATAGTCTAATAGACAAAGAAGTTGTTGTAACACTTTACGTTTCATGACTGATATTGCCTTTTAGCACAGTGATAACAGCGATGTAATTCTTTCCACGCGCCAGCGCCAATCTGAGTACTCATCAAACGTTTGCGCTTTTTTATACTCTGACGAGGGTTGGCAATGAGTCGGAGAGATTGACGATAGGGTTTTAAACGGCTCACTGTTTTTCTCCCAGGTTTAACACTCCCACGCAATGTGTTCATCACTAACTCACTCACGGCATTAATTTGATCTGCATTCGCATACCGCAATTTTTGTTGCCGCTTATTTTGGTTAGCTTCTTTTAACACATCGTTTAAAAAATGACTCTGTCTGGTCATACGCCCTGTCATGTTTATTTCTTTCTTTATGTTCGTTGACGTCTCTTCCTTTTACACTTCTTTTTCTCTAACGCTTGGATTGCTTTCCTAGTACCAAATTTTGTTAATGCACTTAAACCTCCTAACGCAACCGCTTTTCCTCCAGCCGCTAAAGCTGGAATCGCTGCGGCTAACATGGGAGCAATCCCGCCTCGTTGCCTTCCTACCCCTGGTTTACCTTTTCTTCTTTTTGGTTGTCCTTTTCGTTTCATGTTTAAATTTGCGTTTGTTTGAGAGTGAACGGCTATTTATATCTTCGTCAAAGGTATGAACACGCGTAGCTCCCTCTTCTTTGGTTAAATGACTCCAAATGCGAAAACAGTCATCGGAGGCAGGATGTAAATCCAACATAAAATACCCAAAAGGATGGGAGGTCAGCTTTAAAAACAATTTGAGTACTTGACGCCATTTTTCAGGGTACACTTGAAGCAGTAAATGTCGAATACCTGTCTTATCCCTGGGTGATTTAAAACAAATCACATAGTGTGCATTGCGGTTAATCGTTTTCGCAAGCTTGCCTGGGGGAAAGAGATCTTGTGTAATATAAAGAGCGGTAATGCCTCGATGGTGAGAATCTTTTGTAAATAAATCCAACACCCGTTTACCACTCCCTGATTCTTCCATTAAATCATCCAAAATGAGTATGCCATGATGCTCTGGTTTAAACCATTTTACGAGAGCCCCTTCAGAAGGAAGTCCTTTGTAAAACATAATATGTTTTTTCATGCGATCAATTCGGGGTTGCCATCGGTCATAACAATACACTATTTTTTTCGGAGGAGGGTCAAACAATGTTTTTTCTTTGAGTAATTTTTCCACTAATTCACTTTTCCCACTACCTGAGGGCCCCGCTACAATCACGCTAGCAGGTTGTCGAATCATGTTCCCCACGGCTTACGAAAATGAGTGTAATGTCCTGTTGCTCCTACTGCACCCATACGTTTATAGCGTTTGTCCTTGCCCAATTTATACCCAATTTTGGCTGCAGTGGATAAGACTGTGCCGAGTCCTTTGCCTCTTTGATAATGACGGACGTTATCTTTTATACCTTTCAACGCTTGTTTCCCTAAAAAGGCCCCTAATTAGATAAAATTAGGAGAAGGACCAGACAGCCCCATGGCAACTCCCTCGGCTATTTTATCTACCAAACGGGGTTTTCGCCTAAATCGTGCACCCCCTTTTTGACCTTTTCGTTTTTTTACTCGTTGCTTTCGCTTTCGGGCCATAGTTGTTGATACAATCGCGGTAAGTTCAACTGAATGAGTAGAAGTATCTGATCTTTCAAATGGGTTTCACCTATTCCTTTTATATGATTTTTTAAGTCCCACCACAACTGAGCCTGCACTAAACATCGTACAAATTGCCAATGATACCCATCCCACAGATCTGCTGGATCCAGACAGAGTTTGATCCATTCTTGTTTGTGATCTTTCCAATAAGACCATTCTTTTTCTAACAGTGCATGGAGCACTTTTTGAACATCCCCCCATAATATCATGATAAAAATGACACAGTCAAAAGTAACACACACAATTGTTTTCATGAATGAAAAAAGAAGAACGGTTTACATTAGATTGTTCATACTCGGTTAGCTCTGTTTTAATAAGACGTTGCAGTTGGTCTGCGACTCGCTTATCATTTAACACTAAATTATTAGAATGCCACTGGGCTAAAAAATCTTGAAAAGAGGCATGTCTTGCTTTTGCTTTTAAAAAGAAAAGGGCATAATGCCCACACGTAAAACTATCCATGGCTTGTAAAGTCTGATCACTGCTAATGATTTCTTTCAACTGGCTCAGCCAAGCTTGTAAGGTAGGATTTTTGTAGGTAGAAAGAGGTAACCCATAACTGTCAAAGACTTCACATGTAGTTCCTTCGGTCCAAAGGGCTAACCAATGTTCACCCGGCTGACTTGCGGGATCAGTGTTGACAATAAAAGCATTCACTCGTTTTTTAAACACCAAAGGTACTTGGTCTGCTGGAAACACACCACGAAAATAGGGCCGTAATTCGCGATCGTCTTTTGCCAAGTAACGGAGGACTGTATCACTGAGAGGTACGAACTCCATTCTAGCTGTTAATGGAATAAAGAATGCCTCCCCACTGGTCTATTTCATAGACATTTTCATACTCACTCCAAATGACCACGGTCACATTGTGACCAACATTGGCTCTGAAGTCAATTTCATAACTGACATTCCCTGTGAGTTTAGGATTTCTGTAGCTAGGATCATCCGCATCCCCAGGAGCATTGTTAAACATGAACAAGGTACAATTGTTGCGTTGTCCCCAGTCGCTTGGGAGCAGCATAGGTACCCTGTGGTGCTTGTAAGCGCCTGACGCTGTGAGGAAGCGATCATAGCCTACTAAATCTTCTCCTGTGGAATTGCCTGTTAGTTCCAAGGCTCTGTAAGGGTATTCTTCTCCATCAATTCGTTGTCGAACTCTGGTGACGCCAAACTTTTCATAGGCATAAGGGTAATACTTCAGACTTCCATTGTAATTAGTGGAATTCATGAGTCCGATAATGACTTAGACGGGAACCTTGTTCAAGAAGACATTGTCCTGAGACCAACGAGTGCTGTTTCCATCGAAGGAATACGTTCGGATTTCACTTCGAACTACAGGGTAGCGGACTTTTTGGGTTTTACTCAAACTTCTTTCTTTTTGTAGCTTGTTATACACAGAGGGACTGAGCGTGATTTTTTTCATCCAGAGTGTGACAAACAAATCATTGTCTCCCAGTGTTGGAATCTTTTTTGTTGACTGTCGTAGTTGTGTCTGGGGTACCAAACAGAAACATGTTGCTGTCATTCAAATACAATTCCAAATCAATCTGTACATTAGGTACCAAACATTTGCCTGTTCGGAACACCACGATGTGAGGTTTGATGATAAAGGTATGATACGCTTTGCCGAGTAAGCGACTGGTGAGTGCTTTCAAGCCTGTTTTTCCACTCCATGCTGCTGGGTTAGGTTCATCATCATTGGCCGCATTGGTAGGAGTTAATTCTTCCTTGACATTATGCTCATTCACCCATCCTTGAGCAGCCAAAGTCGTTTCTCCTTCTTGACGATTAAAATTCTGTAGGGTTTCTAGGTAAGCTTTCTGGTGATAGGCATTGCTTTGTTCTGTCATCAACACTCCATTGAAAGACACATTCATTTGATTAAAGAGAGAATGACCAAAATTGTTGACGCAATAGACAAATTTGGTATTATTAGCATCCGAAGGCGCGCCCTCTGCACTAGAAATACCTTGTGTCCCTGCAGTGTTCAGTCGCACTTTGATTTCTAGCTTTGTTTCATTTAAATCATAATAATCATCCCCTGCTGGTACAGTAAAAAGAATAGGTCGTGTTCCAGTATAAGCTGGTTTGAAAGGAATCCACCGTTTGGCTTCATAGCTATAGTCAATGTCGGGAATGTCAAACAGATTCAGCGACATGTTGACGGACTGATAACTTAACGCCGTTTGCGTCGTCTATTTATACGTTTCCGTTCTTTGTTTTTCCAAGGGTAGATAACTGGATGCATTTTCCCTCCTTTTTGTTTTCTTATTCTTCTGAGAATCCATGGATCTATTTCATACCGTTTATAATTAGTGAATCCCCATGGGTTGGGAGGATCTCGAAAAATAGTGCCTCCCCGTTGATAAGGTGAATGGTAACGACCTACAGGTCGTTGATGTCTTATGCGAGATTGTGATTTCTGTCCTTGTCTCATGGTTTACACCCCTAAAATGTCTTTCACGTGCTGTCGTTTCTTTTTTATAGCTTTGTTTGGCTTTGCTTTTCACAGCCAGACCAATAGCCGCTGGTATTTTACGTTTGAGTCCTCTTTTTAAAACTTCTCCTGAACCTTTTAAGGCTTCGGAGGCTGACTACACTTGGTCCCGCTAATTTTACCAATTCTTGCATAAAACCACTCCCGTGCATAGTGGGGGTATGATAACGCGTCAGTGATCCTCCCAACATGTTGTTTGCTGTAGTTGTGATGTTTCCATAATACAGGGTCTCTTTTATACTTGTTGAAAACCAAGGGTAATGATGGTTTTGCCTGGGGATAAGACCAACAAGGAACCATCTGGTGTAGCCAACGACACTTCAATGCTTTCAATGTGTTGATTTCGAACTCGAATCCATTCACGATGGTAAGGTTCCATGGTCGCTCTCCCTTCTCCTTTTCTTTCTATCTAATTCCACTTTTCTTAACAGCGAATGTCGTTGTGATCCTACAATGGTGGATTCTACAGCATCGCAATAAATCATGACCGTTTGTTTTACGGTTCCCACATGCGTATTAAACAGGACATTCAGATTTTGAAAATGCCAATCCACAGTACGCGTGAGATACAGATACGATTGACCATTCTCTTGTTTGACTTTGAATAACGAGTTTCCTCCTAATAAATTTGATGGACTAATGCTCACAAAATGCTCTCCTAGCCATTGATACTTACCATTGCTTTTGACGGGTGGAGTGGATGTCGTATAAGTGGTTGTGGGTAAGACAAAGTCTAAATTGGGTCCTAATTGGTATTAGTTGTTTTTGTCTTTGAACAATAAACCAAACTTTTCCGCAAAATCCACATGTATCCCTACAGAGGAAAGGGGGTGAATTTTTAGCTGTCTGTCACGAGCAAACGCATCTTCACGGGATACTTTTTTCAACACGAGGGTGTTTTAGTTCCATTCAAAGGTGGGTTTCCAAGTAGATTTCAGGGAAACAGTGCCTGTATTACCTTTGGTTGTTTTCCAAGTGTCGAAGGTTGACTTTACATCTTCCATGATGGTTTGTTCCATATTGGTCATAATATTCTGCCATAATTGATGACCTGAATAGACAGGATACGAACTACCCATGACATCTTTCAAAGTCACAGTTTTGTCTTTGGGCTCAAAGTTAATAAACCAATCACTGGCCACAGCATGACGCTTGGTCAAGGTGTAGCCATAGTTGAGTATCTTGGTGTCACTATTACTGTGAATGACCGCAGAACTATGTCCTACATCAGGGACCGAGACACTCCACAAACTGGCTTGCCAGGTATTGCCTTCTAAATTGAGTCGCACCGGTAAACGCACTTTAAAATTATTATTTTGGTTTTGGGGATGTTCGTCCGTGGGATCGCTGATTAAGGTTAATCGAAAACTCTTCATAACACTTGCAAATCTTTTTTCCACACCCAAGAGTTATATTTTTTCGGCCAACCCTTCCAAGACACAAAGACTTGTTTTCCTTTGCGTTTTAAAACTTGATCAATACGAAATAATGAATCGTCTGCGACATTGACCTTTTGCAGATCTGGTTCATAAAACGTTCCTTTTATAGGAGACCCGTCCCATTCCGTGAGTTTATACGTTACCACTGGTTTTGTCGTATAGATTTGTTTCACTAAAAACACTTCTTCGGTCCACCCAGGCAAATACCCTTTTTTAAAAGGACGAAATTTCTTTATTGAGTCTTACTTTATCACCTACTTGACATTGCGGTTTTTTCACTTTGTTGTCTTTTTTCGTATCGTATAAACGATACCAAATTTCGGTTTCGTTGCACTCGTTGACATTGACAGGTTTTTCTTGAATACTACGATGATAGGAATGATTATATGCTTTCACTAAAGCAGGCAACACATCAATATACTTGAGCGTATTATGCGCAGTAAAATAGCGAAACATGTTCGTTTTCAAAGTTCGATTCCAACGTTCCACTACGGAACCGTGAGGATCTCCATGCGTAGAAAAATGATTCACACCCTGTTTTTTAAAAAAGGATTGCACTTTAACATTATAAAATTCACCGTCAGAATCCGTCTGTACTTTTTGAGGTAAACGATCTCCTAATCTTGCCCATAGTCTTTGTAAGGCTTCTACCATCGCTGTTGCGCTTTTACTCTTTAACGGCTCTACCCAGGCAAATTTTGAGAGCACATCAATCACCGTCAGTAAATATTTGTACCCTTTGTTGTATTTGGCTAGTTTTTGCATGTCTACCAAGTCCATCACAAATTGTTCGTTGATGTTAAACACCAGGGTGGGTAATGTTTTAAACCGCCGACGTCTTGGTTTGTGCAGAGTGTAACTCAGTACTTGTTGCAGTTCCTTCTTGGCTTTGGACACGGGAATCTTGTGTGCTTTGGCAAATTTGGCAACACCTCCCAGTGATCCAGGCTCGGTAGGATCGACATACGAAGCGGATAATTTCGTTGACATAGTACACTAAAGGGCGACTTGCTAAATACCAAAATGAGTACATGTTGTTGGCATGATGTTTCTTTAAATAGTCAAACACCTTGATTCCTTCGGATGGATGGTGTCGATGCAGCCAAGTGATGTACACTGCATAATGTCCCCAGGTTGTATGGTTATGATTTATCATCCATTGAAACATTGGGATAGGAGGACAAGTGTCTTCAGAACATAGGTCGTTTAACAAACGACGACAAATCCACACCGTACTTTTATACTAAAGGTTTCCCGTGACTGAATGAGTACTTTTCAAAAGAAATGATCGATTTTTATACGTCTTTATATTCTATTTTTAGAACACATTTCATTCCCCCTGTTTGAACATGTTTAATTCTCAAGGGCTAGGGTTTAACCCTAACCTAATTAACATTTTAACCCTAACCCTAATCGCAAGGGGCTAGAGTTTAACCCTAACCCTAACCCTAACCCTAATCCCAAGGGGCTAGGGTTTAACCCTAACCAGAAAACAACCACATAACATTTCTTTTCAACACTTTTATTTAAAATTTGCTTGTTTTTATGCTACACATTTTTTAAAGAGAAACTAAAAAAATACCAGTACCAAAGGTTCTAAAGGTTTCATAGGAATAAGGAGGCAATCCACATTTTCTTCTCTCAGCATTGTTTGCATCACATTCTTGAAAAAATCTCTTTTCTCTTTCTTGTTTTTCCTTGTCTGTTTCTTCCGGGATACATACATTCACTAATTGAGCAAAAAAACGTTCCTCCACGGGTGTTAAAGACAATCCCTCTGCTTTTTGTTGCGACAATAGGAAGCCAAACTGCAGACTTTTTCAGGCAAAGAACCAAAAGACCAGTCTTCATACACTGCTTTGGCGATGGCTACTTCGTTCTTTTCATACTTTTCAGCTCCAGGGGGAGGTTTCCACTCATCCTGTTTGCTTGCTATGCAGGCATTTAAGAACTTTTCATCCGCAGGTGAGAGAGAATGGCCTTTGCTTTTTTGTTTTGTTAGATACTCAGCTACATTTGCATCAGCGGGAGGGAGATGAGACTATCCTTTCACACGAGAATTAAACCGATGGTTAGCAATACTAACAGCCTCCTTCCACTGCTTTTGTTTTTCTCAGTTCCTTCTCTATCTCGGGACTTGACTCAAAGGTGTTTGGCAGAGGGTTGCTCTTCCAAGGATTTTTTGTTTGCAGTTTTCTTTGTTCTCCTTGCTTTTTGGCTGATTCAGCAAACTTTTTGGCTGCTTCGGCAATCCATGAAGGTTGCTGTTTCTGCTCTGTTTGAGTTTCGGCATCTTGTTTGCTGTACCAACCATTGCGCTGTTTCCACGTTTCAACATTCGCTTCCGCTTGTTGCTTCCATTCTGCTCTGCTCAGGTTTGTCGCATACTTGAGTTTATGGATGGGTCTCTTATCGATAAACAGTGGTGTGTGAATCCACTGAAAATATTTGCAGCGTGTCTTAGCTAAAGCGGGTGTTCCACAGGTTAAAAAGACTTTGTTCAGGTTTCTGGCGGTCTTACTAAGACGAAGGATAGGAATTCGTGAGCAATGACATTTCAATTCTCCCCATTTGGTTTTTACTTCTGCATGCATGTCTTTCTTTAAGGAATCATACACTTTCAGTTTGTCCAATTCTTTTCCATAAAATCTTGGGCAGAGTTTCTTTTCGTCAAAAATAGAAAGCAAAAATTGAATGTTTAAAGGACCGTCAGGACCGCCAAAATCTACGTTCATCATTTCAAGATCTTCTTCTCTACTCATTTCACAAGCCATGGTAGCAGAGTTTGTGATTTGACCAGAGATTGCCCCAATTTTATAAGACTCCTAAGGTCCCTAGGGTATTGGGCAAGATCGGGCAAGAATCCCCAAGGGTGTTAGACAAATAAACACACGCTTGACTGAGATCACATTGTTTAATTTTAAACAACAAACTTTTTACAACAACAAGAACAAAGTGTTTTTAGGGAAATTTAAATCCTCCTGCCTCTACTTTTGGTCGTTTCTGTAATCTTTCTTGTACCATCTCGTGCATTCGTTTCTTGAGAGCTGAGGGTGTAAAAGCTTTAGGGATCTTCACAGGTTTAGGTGCTTGGTGAATCCACTGAAAGTAATTACACCTGGCTTCTCTGGTCTTAGGACAGCTTAGGAACACTTTGTTTGGATTTCTTGGTGTTTGACTCAGCTTGAGTCTAGGCACTAATCCACAATGACAGCTAAAGGTTCCCCATTGCTCGTAGATTTTGGGATGAATGCTGTTACAAATGGTATCCAACACTGTCTGCTTGCTGTCTGCATTGCCAAAATACACGGGACATGTATAACAAATGGCAAGGCCTTTTTCAGGCAGGACAAAGTTGGTATGCAAAGGCTTGCTCGCATCCAACAGATATTCTTGCAAAGAAACTTCATCTAAATTAGGCACATCGAATTCCCCTTCTATAGGCCACCATTCCACTTGTCGACCATCTGGTAACACAGCGACTCCTTCTTCCATGATATGCACGGGATCTAGGTCAGGCTGTGTTTCCATAGAACTCGGACCATTGAACAGATCTCGGCAGGCCTGCTGCATTTCCTCATAGGAAGGAAGTTCTTCATTGACAATCATTTGAGGTTCTGGAGTTTTCAGAACTGATTGAACCACTTCTTCTCCCGTCTTATTTTTGGCTTTTCTGGATTTCTTTTCTTTCTTGGGAGGAACAGAGTTATCCATGTCAAACTTCGGTTCTTGCAGATAACACATACAGCAAAATCACATCAAACACACAAATTTATACTTACTTAAAATACCTTAGGGAATTGGACATGTCTGGGCAATGACGTCACTCCTGTCACGAACTCGCACTAATCACACCCTTGAGACTTGAGCATGTTGGGGCAGACTATAAAAGAGATAAATTACCTCATTTCATTATTTAACAACATGACTCAGCCAAATGACAACTCGTCTTATGTGACGCTGACTAGTCAAAAAACACAGGAATTTCAGACAATTTACCCACACAATTTCAATACCGTTTGCCTCAAAGCTTATGGTTACCGGGCAAATGGAAAGTGGGTTTGGCAAGTGTGTTTTTACCTGGCGTTTCCAATCCCATTCCCCATGTTGTCACATCCCATGTCAGTTCCTCTCTGACGAAACATCATGACACAAATCCTACCAAACCTTTCGGTATTCGCTCGATTCACAACCTGTACAAAGCGAGCGATACCGATATTTTATTTCAACAATATGCCAAAGCTTTCAAATCTAGTCAATCTCAAGAATTTTTGTCCCAACTTAAAACAGCACATTTGCAAGATGCCTCCAATGGATTTGATTTTTAGTCCAAAGTTTTTTGGTGGATGGAACAGGATTCAAACAAAAAATTACCCACGGGGTATGAATTTGCAGATAGTAGTGATAATTGGAGAATAGATGTTTCTGCTCAAGATAATTACACGAGTTGGTTGCTTCGGCATTACAATGTTGCAAGTACCAACAGAAAAAGTGTGCCTTATTTAGCCATTAATTTGATCTTGGCTAAACAAATGGGTTGGGTTGTAGAAACAACTACCAATGTGTTTGCAGTGGGACCGAATTTACTCATGGAGCTTCCATACGGTACTACTAGTGTAAAACCAGATCCCGCGACCTGTCTCAATGCAAAATTTACTTTTACTCAACCCATTCATGTAGTAGACGGATTGCTGTATCTTTTCTCCACGTTTAGTTGGCGCTTTGTGAATTTAAATGAAGCCTTTGACAGAGCGATTCATCGACCCTATGAAACCCCAAAAACAGTTTTCAATGTGTTCAAACCCTGGATGACTAACCTTACATTATGGAATATGGATCTTGGACTCGCCTTGAACGATAAGTTTGTAGATCTACCTGTATCTCCCCATTATTGGAAACCCAGGACTCTGAGTGTGACTTTGTTAAGAGGAGTAAAAATTGTGGATGGTGCATCTCACGGAGATTACGCTGGGGAACTGGGAATTGATATGAGCTCCTTAGCTCGCAACAAAACTTATACGGTGGCATTAGAGTGGTACCAAAAGGATGAGTGGCTGTTTAACCGTTCTAAATTTTCAGCGGAAGGAACGGGTTTACAAGTTCATCATTTGTGGGCTGAAAAACATACTCATGAGCAAAACAAAACCCATTTGATTTATTACCACACATTGACTATTCAATTCACTAAAACTTCAAGTAGCAATGCAACATTAAGCATCAACTTTGAAATAGGGTTTCCACTGTCACCGAAATATTCAGGTGAATTAAAAGACAACACTTTTTTGGTGCTGTATGGTGTGGATGGTCATGTAGAACAGGTACCAGATGTGTATGATAATCACCCGATCATTCCCTCTTCTCACACAACCACCGAAACAACGACTACCAGTACGGGGGACAAGAGAGCTTCCACACTTCCTAAATCTCATGGAACAGACAATTTACGCCCTCTGTTTTTGTCTTGCAATTTAACCAAAAGCATTGATGGAAACAGAACCATCATGAAGTCTGTCGCTTATAATAACGAAAAAACGCTGATTGAATGTAACCCCATTCAATTTTATTCCATGAGGAGTTATTTGGTGGACATTTTAGAAGTGACTGTGACAGAATGGAATAACATTATTCCCGATTTTAATCAGGATAGTCCAGT